AAAAGGTTATTGAGCCTAAAACTTAAAAAGGAATTAAACATTTCTATGGATTTTGAGAATATGTATAGTTTTAATTAATCTAAATACCCTGGAATATTAAATGTTACACTTTGAGGATAAATCAGTCTCTATCAGAGATCAGAATAAAACCTAACATTGAAGACAGGTGCACAGTATCATTATTTGACAACCACAGGGTTGTCTCAGAAGCATTTGGAACTGACCATATCTGAAGGTACAACAATGCATCCATATGCAATTTTAAGTAAATTTTTGGTTTCTGTACTCCTGCTGTGATGAGAACAATTAATAGTGCTGTGGGAAGAGGTGGAATCAAGCCCAGTTGCAGCATTGCTCAGTTTTGGACTGATGTCATTTATAGTGGAATGAGGAGACAATGGCCCAAAATGGGAGAAAGAGGAAGAGGAAAGCAAAAGGTGCCTTTTAGTTAGAACCCAGGACAGACTGGGCTATAAAAAAAAAATCAACACTAGTTAGAAGGGTTTTTAGAAAAAGACACAAAAATACAGAAATAAGATTGTCATTGTCATACTGTGCTAGTGTAATCACCTAACACTGCAATAATATTCTACTTAAACACAGTTGTATCTTCCTGAGAAAAAATCAAGTACTTTTAGTAATAATTCTTATGATTGAGATATCTAGTGACTGATTTCTTCTAAAAATACATGTACCATCTTCCAAAATGAGAATTTAATGCTTTCATTTTTAGCTGTACACACATAATGTAATAACACTCAGTTTATTGTTGCAGTACTGAATGCAGAAGTTAGCTGCATATTTCCCTTATTTTTGTACTTATAACATTGTAAAAATAATACATGCATATCAGGAATTGATTCTGTGGCATTTTACCATGTCCCACTGAGCTGGGAACCAAGCCTGCAAAATCATACTCATGGGAATACGTTCCCCAAGTCAGGTCAGCAAATAAAAGCTCCTCACATGAGTAAGGCTACAAGAATAGACTACAGGAGGTCAAGGTCAGTGGTGAGTTTTGGCTGAGTCAGGGTTGGAGGATAAGGCCCTTATGAATCCTATAAATAGTTCATTGTTAAAAGAGGTCAGACCTAATTCTGGAAGTATTTTGAAAGAAGAAACTACTGCGTGACTGATGACGTACACTTACCCAGGCCCCTCGGCTTATTAATGTGACATTTGTTTGGAACCAACACATAATAAATAAAAGATATTTTTAGGATGTGCCAGGGAAATGTATTCAGATTTTTACAGAATAATTTGAGTATATTAAAAGTGTCGCACAGTGTCAAAGAAATGGTTGTTAGTGCATACAAATAAGGTATTAAAAAGCAGTGGTTTCTACTGATCCTGATGGAACAGAAAAGCAGGCCAAGGAGGTTAAAAGTAGGTTTTACTCACCTGATTTCAATCAGCTAAAAGCTCATACCTAGACTCCTGTTACTGTAAGTCAAGGGAAGCAGGTGTCTCTACTACCATCAACCACATCCTAAGGCTGCAGTTTGGCACAAACTTACACTGATCTAAGTGAGCACCAACATCAGGAAAAGCAGTATCCCCCAGGTCTTTTGCCCAGAATGAGTGGTTTATTCCCAGTTCTGTAATTTTTGTTGACATAAGGTTTCAGTAACCTTGATAGATAGCTGACATTACTGAAACCATCCTCTTCCACCTCCTTCTTTCTTCCCTCAAGGTTACTTTTCAGTTGGATCAGTTCTCTGGTCTGGAAACTATGCCAGCAGTGGCTGGGCAATGGACCAGAGCAATGCTGGGCAAAAATGACTGCTTCTTTCAACTTGAATGTCAGAGGAAGGCATTTTGCAAATGGTCTGAATGAGCCATGTGAGTCTAACACTTCACTGCCACCAGCACAGGGAGATCTATTCCATTCCCCTCCCTGCTGCCAGGGCCACACAACCACTGCTTCCCTTTGCAATGGCTGTGGACTTGTAAAGGCCTTCTGTGACTGGAGACACCTTCATAAGCTGGTAGAAAATTAAACCATTAAAAAAAAGTAAATAAATTTTAGTGTGTTAGCCAGTACAGCTGGATCACAGAGGTGTTAGATGGACAGGAGAGCCAGCAAACCAAGAAAGAGGCTGAGTGACCTGGGATGAGGAAAGGAGAAGAAAACAAGAAGGGAATAAAGCCTGGGTCCATCCTTTCAACAGTCATGAGCTGTTAGATCAGCTGCCCATCAAACTGCACCCTCAGGGTCCCCTTCCATATTACATTGGATATGATCTAATTGGAGGCAGACATGGGAAGGGACAGTGCCACTTTCCTCCAGGCCTTCAGCTGCACATTCCCAATAGGCAGGAGAGCAGAAGTGAGGGGACAGGAGAACCAGCATCCAGAACGAGGTAAAATACATCTTAAATTAACTGCTAAAACCAGGTGGTATCAGTTACTCTCTAGAGTTCTTATATTTCCTCATTAACTAGGAGGGCCCTAAACAAAAAACTTCACACTAGAACCCTATTTCAAAGTGCCTGAATCTCAGTGAGACAAAAATCAGACATATGTGTTCATCCTGTGCTATCCCTGTCTATAGTCTCCATTCTACAGCACTGCAACCTTACATTTTGAAGGAATGCATTAGTGCTAAATATTTCTTTCATGTTACAATAAAAATGGTAATGGAAAGACATCTAAAAAGTGTAAGAAATTCAAATTGATCTGCTGATATATACATTATTATACCAATTCCCAAGAGAATTGCAACTCTGTTGCAAAGTATTGACACTGTCCTCTTGCAATTCAAAATGCAGTCAAAACTGAAACATCACAAAGGAAAAATCACCATGTTTCTAAACCCTACTGATGAATCCCAATCAGGCTGGAGCTGAAGAATAAACACAGAGCCAAGAGCTCCTCCAACAGCTGTTGAGACAGTGTGTGCTCACAGGGCTTTCATCAGCACTAGCAGGGGTTAGTCTCTGGAAAGAACAAAGGAGCCTCAGAGCCTGGGCCATGGAGGGAGAAGCAGCGGAAACAAAAATGTCACTTGGATGACAGTCAGAGACTTCCCTAAGTCCCATTCTCTTCCCCTCCCTCACTTTGAGGAACACCTTAACTGTTTCAGGAGCCTCGTTCACTCATGTTACTGGCTTGAGCATGTTACCGACTTCAATGAAGCCATTAAAAAAAAAAAGTGCTGTTCAACACGAGCATGAATAGCAAGATGATTTTTTCATTAGCAGTTGAAAGACTATTTCCTATGATGAATTATTAAACAAAGCATACAAAAGCACCTCCATGAAGCACTGGCTTCCACAACAGATGCTGACTGATTTCAGTGAAATAACTCAGATCTGTGTTGATATTCAGTGATTAAAGAGACTAAAAAAAAAAGTAATCTCACACACTGAAATAAAGGTGTTCTATTCTCCTAACTCTGAATTGCACACTTCACTACTAAAATATTCATTTCAAATTGCATCTTATTGTGCCAAAAGGATTTAGTAAATATATTAAGCACCAACTTCAGGAAGAAAAATTATGTATATTTTTTGTGTTTGACTGGATGAAAACATTCAAGGAAACAAATGTCTAGACATGATGACAATAAACCCTCTATTACTGGAACGGCGGGAAAAGACGCTGCCCTCAGTAAGCACAACTTCCCAAAAAAGTCACGAACTGTTTGCCAGGCTGTCATGTGCTCAAATAATTATTTCAGATATTCATTCTTCATAAGAAGTCCTATGTATAGTTTCCCAAAGTGGAACACATCGATGGTTTATGGATTTGTGGTTTTGTCCATGAACAAAGCTTTGTTCTGTTGAGAGCTGAAAGGTGCCTTACACCCATCCCTGCCATGTCAGGCTGCAATGCCTCATCAGACCCACACTTGTGTCATGGTAAAATATTCTAATTCTTGTAAAAAGGGATTATAGGGACACAGGAAGTTAGCACAAAAATTCTTATTAGCAATAAAATAATGATGATGATGGTTACAATACAATCAGTAGGGCCATTACTGCTCTCTAATGATTTCCCTGTGGTTAAGACTCAATATCCAGATAAAAATTCAAGGGAGATCCTCCTGTTACTAAGGCGGGAACAGATTTCTGAATTAAAAATAAAATAGAGAAATTTAATTTGTCTCTTTTTTTCAAGGGAGCTTTAGTTTCACATCCCACTCCTGGAAGTTGCTCCATTGGGATCAGCTCCTGTGCCTGCACAGCTTCAGACTGGAACTAAAAACCAAAATTAAGTGAGTCAGATAATCAGAAAAGGAAACTGAGTATAATTGAAAGTAAAATTCATAATTTGGTTTTATGATGCAAGCAAAAGTGACAAATGGGTTATAACATTAATTTAATCTGACAGAGATAAGAAAATGGGTTGTTTCTTTAAACCAAGAGCTTCTTTCTCCATCTAGCAAAAATATATCAAAATATATCAGGCTCTGTCTTAATTCAAACACTGCCAAAGGGTTTTTTTAGATGCTTATGTCTTTTTCATCAACTGTTTAATTTTATGCACCAGGTTAATGTGGCCTAATACTCTATACTGAGTTATTAGTTGAAGAATTCTTCAGAGTTGTTCAACTAATGAGTCAGCTTTGTGCTTTCTGAGGAATGTGTTGTGCTTCTAGGAAGTCAGCTCAGAGCTCTGGGCTTCTGATGTGCATAGCCAGGCTGAAGGCTCAAGGAATGCAGAGTTTACATAATAAACATGAACTCTAGATCTGGGTACAGGAGACTTTCGCCATGTGAAAATCTCCCCTTTTGCACACACTTGCAGAATCAGTCATTTCATTGGCTTTGTTGCCCTCCCTTGCTTGCCTCTCCAGTTGTGTAATTTCCAGTTGTGTCATTCTCATGGTCATGAAGTAGCCCCCTCTTTTATCTCAAAAAAATGCATCCATTCAGGACCTCTTGTCTGTTTTCTACTTTTGTGTCTGAAATAAATACTCCAGCCATATTTTCAAGCTTTATTTCACAACAGTGAAAATATAAGCTGAAATTCTTGCACAACCACTTGATCTAAGGAGCTTTAATAAAAATGCTGAACACAAAACTTCTGGTAAAATTGTAAAAGTTGGCAATATGGAGATTGAGAAGTAGAACATGTTTGCTTTGCATTTTGATTATCAACCTGCCTTTCATTCATACTTTGCAGACATAGCTGATTCTGATCTGGCCTAATTAGAGTTCCAGATCTCAGTAGTGATGGGAAAAAACTTGGTACAGGGATTAGCTCTTAGAACAGGCTCAGAGCCCCTCTCTGCTTTTATGCCACCTCTAGCTGGCTCATATCAGCCAGCACATTTCAGAAGGGAAACGGTAATTAGGCAAGCTAAAGATAGCCATGGAGTAGCACCTTATCAGTGCTACAAATATTTTCAACAGCTAAAATAACCCCAAGCAAACAAACCACAACCTCCCCTAAGATTACATGAAGTTTTACCTCCTTTGCAGATGAAATGCACAAACAGGCCAGGCCTTGTCTGAGGACATCCCAAGCTTTTGCCAGCAGTTTACAGACAGAGACTCCATCTATTCAACAAGCAATTTCAGATTGAACAGTCTCAGAAAACAGGGATGCTACTTGAAGTTCTGGAAAAAACTAATGCTTCCTGGGGGATCATGAGCAGGGCAACTCATCATTGGGCCGCCTGGTTTGTGAACACCAAGTGACTGAAGCTCAACTCCAGCCCTCCCTGACAGGCTGCTGTCTGAGGCACCTGGAGTCACTCCGAGGTGAAGCTTCCTAAAGGATCGCCCCTTCTTCTCTCTGGGAACCAGTAACAGGAGGGAATGGCCTGGAGCTGTGCCAGAGGTTGGGTATTAGGAAAAGGTTCTTCACCCAGAAGACGGAGAGACAGTGGAACAGGCTCTCCTGGGAAGCGGTCACAGCACCAAGAAGCGTTTGGACAACGCTCTCAAGCACGTGGTGTGATTCTTGATGCTGACCTGCTCCGGGCCAGGAGCTGGACTCTTTTCACGTTTGTGTGTCCCTTCCATCACAGACTATTTTGTGATTCTGTGATTCTTCCAGCCGGCCTGAGGAGGAGCCTGCGCGCCCGCTCCACGGGGAAAACGAGAGCCCTCGAGTCCGGCGGGCCCCGGCAGGGAGGCGGCCTGCCGCGGAGGCTCGGAGGCGCTGTACGGCCGTGAGGAAGCGGAAGGGCCGGCGGCGCCGGGCGCGGGCCGGGAGCCGCCGGAACCCCCGGGGGCCGTGCCCCCCCTCAGGGGGCGGGCTGAGGGCGGCCGAGCCGGAGCGGCGGCGGGCAGGGCCGGGGCTATGCTGCTGCGCCTGGCGCCCGAGTTCCAGCTGCGGAGGGACGTGCTGCCCTGGCTGGCGGAGCGGGGCTGCGCCGCGGCTCTAGGTAACGCTCCGGGAGGCCGAGGAGAGCCCCATCCCTCCGGCAGGCCGTCCCTCCCTCTCTCCGGCCGCCTCCGTGCCCTCCCTCCCGCGGAGGCCGGGCTGCGGCGAGGTCCCGGGTGCGGGTGCCCGAGAGACCCCCGGGCAGGGGCGCAGCGGGAGCTCCGGCCGCGGGGGCCCGGGGATGGCGGCGGGGGAGCGGCCCCCGGGCCCCTCTCGGCCGGGGCTCGAGGGGAGCGACCCTCGGGAGCCGGGGGACTCGAGGCGGCCAAGTTTGCTGTCCTCAAGGAATTTCTAACAAGCCGAAAACACTTCTACACTTCTGCTACACTCCACAGCTTGTTTCTTCTTCCTGCTTCTTCGCACGTTTGGGGCTTTCTCTTTTTCTTCTCCTCTCCTCTCTCACCCCCCCCCGCCCCCCCAAAAAAAAAAAAAAAAAAAAAAAAAAAAAAAAAGATAACACTATGAAAATGAAAAAGGCAACACTAACAAAAATCTTTATTTCCATCTAACCTAGTATTACCCGCTCCACCAAAAAAAAAAAAAAAGAAATAAAAAGTGTTAGCATTACTCTCTCTCCCACGCTACTCCCCTTTCTGGGAGGAAAACCCCACAGCCTGAGCGCTTCGGTGTGCCTGGCAAACGCGTGCTGGTTTAAAATTAGATGCAGCGTCAGCTGTCACAGCACCGCGCGATCGCCGAGCAGCGAGCGCCCGCGGTAGTGGTTGGAAAAAAGTGACCTCCCGTATTCTTGGCACTGTGGCTTTTCGCTTGTTATTCATCTGCACAGCAGCTGGCTCAGTTCTGCTTTTCAGAAACTGATGAAAACCTTGTTGTAATGAAATTGTAATGCAGTAAAAGTTGTTGCTTCAGTAGAAATACCATCAATATGCAAGTGTGATGAACTTGAAACGCCTTCAGTTGCTTTTACTTACAATACTTAACTTGCTTGCTGCGTTGAGAGGCTGTTATCAAATAAGCTCAGAAGATTTTGTTTGGTGACAAACCAGAAAGTATCAGCTTGGAGAAGAAGATAATTGTTTAGCAAGCCATCATTAAAAAAAATCTGAAAAAGTACTTCACATTTTCTATGTTTTCAGAACAATTATTGAAAGGTATCCTGAAGGGATCTGAGGTAAAACTCTGACATTCTCCATGTATAATTGATTAATTATGGATTTTTCAGTTCATCAGTGAACTTGTTAATGGCAAAAGGGTCTCAAAATGGCACAGACTTGTGTTCGGGAAGGAGAAAATTGTATTAAATCTTTTGAAATGTAATGGATTCTTCATTCAGTAATGTCCCTGGTAATACAGAAACATAAGAATCTAGTTTGGAGGGTGCATCTGATCAAATACCAGCACTGCTGTATTGCTTTTTAACATATCTGTGTGTAGTTACTTCTTCCTCCTCATGCAATTCTGTCATATTAAGAATGTGAAGGTGGGAGGTAGGGATTTGAAAAGATTAATTTAAACATCAAAGAAATATCTAATCACAGAAAGCAAGTAATTTTTAGGAGTCATGGTACTTTGTGTCAGTATTTTCAGATGTTACTCATTCATATTTATTATTTTCTTTCCTAAGGACTTGAAAGCACTTGATAGCCTGTGAGAACTGCTAATTGCGTGAGAGCTGGGAGTAGCTGTGATGATAGGAAGGGAGCAGCAGGCAAAGTGAACCAGCCTTGTTCTCTTTATTCCATTTAAATTGGTATGAGCTGCATAGAATGGTCTTCAGGAAATCAAACTCCGCATTCTCCTGATTGTGTTGGTAAAAGCTCTCTGCTGGGCAGGCAGGCTGGGCTGGGTCTTTTGCAGCCCTTCATCTGCTGGTCTCAGCTGTGGGCATAAGGAAGAAGTTCTAATTCTGTGTGCAGGATTTTACTGCAGGAGTTTCCAAGGGCAGAGACCATTGCCACTTCTTTGCCTCCACATTCCCACTGACTGTTCTCTAGAGAAGAGAAACTCTTTTCTGACACAGAACTTTTTCAGCACCTTTAAGTGTCAAGTGATAGGTAAATCCAATGAGATGGAGATTCTCTGCTAAAATTCTGTACTGAGGAAGTATTGCATGAGAAAATGTGGAGACCGTAGTACTCATCTTGAAAGTTTGAGGTGGTTGTTAAGTTCCAGGAACCTTCAGATAAATTAAAAAAAAAAAGAGAGTATATTGTTACCTTAAACTCTCCCAGCTGTCACCATCTAGCCCTAATGTAGTGGTTTTATAGTGTATTTTGAGTGACCTGAAACCAATAGAAAGTGATGTGTTGCTCAGTGTACAGGAAGGGTTTTCATTGCCCTCCCACAACAAAATGGAAAATTTACTTTCTTCTGATAATACTTGAAAACAGTTTTTTTAAAAATTATCACTGCAGGCTGTACAAGCCAGTTTATAGTATCAGGCTCGTTAAACTAAGTTTCACTAAGTGTCTTTCTTCTATCAACACTTTGTGATAACTGCCAAGTAAATGGTGTCAGACTTCACTAAATGCTTGCAGAGGGTTGAGGAGAGTTCTTTATGTTGATGCTTACTGAACAGCCCACATTTATTAGAAAATTGAGACCAATCATACAGCTTCAACCTTGCTAAGGGCAAAATTTCCACTTCTAGTAAAAATATTATTGCAGATAAACACATTTTTGATGGCTGCAGTGATGAGAAAACATAAAAGCAGCATCCGGAAAGCATGCATTTTTCTCACCTTGAGTACTATATTTTATCCTTTTTTTCTGGTGGTTTTCTTTTTAATTTGTACTGCTTTGTCTAGATATGCTCTTCTCTTTATGTGTCCATCTTAGCTTCCTGCTTGTTTGTTTCTATTTTAACAGTACTTTCATTTGCATCCCATATAATTTTGTGCCCTGCATTGTTTAGTCCTCCGTACTTGTAGGTAGGTTGTATATCTCCCTGTATGATATTTAATCTTGTGGTTCTTTGGATTTTGGTGGGGTTTTTTCTTTATTTATTTCTTTTTGAAGGAGGAGGATGAGCTAAGAATGACACAGGAGTGCTGGTGTTGGTGTTATAGAACTAATGTCTAAAGATGTAGTTTATTTTCAGGCTTTCCTTTGAGATGCTGAAGGGGCAGGTGTGAAAAAAATTATATTTTCCTCAGGCTAGTTCTCTCTTCCTGTAGTGCCCAGAGGACTGGAGTATGGCTTAACTGTCTGAACCCCATGTTGTGTATAGAGAATAAATGCAAGGGGCTAATTTTGGTTTGGTTTGGTTTTTTTATTCTTTGAAAAAGCACATTCCATTTTCATAACAAAAGGTAGTGGTAATTAGAAACATAATTATAATGAAGAGGTAGGTGTTTACAAATATAATTTTTTTCTTGCATGTTTTGAAGTCCCTTAACTATCTGTGTTGAAGTTTATCAGATTTAAATCATGGTGTAAGAAGTACTCCCTCTTTTTCCAGAAAGGAGTAATTTTGGCATATGCAAATAAGTATTTACAAGTAAAAATGTATTTAGCATATTTGCTTAAAGTGTGCATAAAAACCAGCTAAAATGAAAATCCTGTGTCTGTTTATACTTCTTATTTCAGACACTTCTGAGAATTCATCAGCACTCTATGTTGTAAATGTTGAAAGAAATGGAAAAGTTATTTATACCTGGAAGGTAAGTCCACCTTGGAATTTAATAAAAATGTAGTTGAGAATAATAGTATATGTGAATCTAATTAAGTTTCTTGTAGTTTAATTTTTTTTTTAAGTGTTAGAACATGAAAACACAGCTGATTACAGCCTGGGGGGGGTTGGACAGTGGGAAAATACCCATCTCCACTTCGGTCAAAGGTTAAGAGTGATGAAATGGAGAGTAAAGTACTCACCTGATTAAGTCTACAGGGTTTTTGCCCATGATTTTTTGCTGGCCCAGAATCTCCCCATGAATGAAATGCAATTTCTTTAAAACACTTCATAAACACAATTTCACCCTCAGTTTCTTAGTGAAGCCTAGCTATTAAATTCATGTTCAGTGCTTTAGTTGAATGTTTTCTCCTGCTAAAATGTCTTAAGATACCATTTGTCTAGCACTGTTCTGCATATACCTTTCTTTAAGATTCACCTATAACACTTTGTTGCAAGTAGTCTGAAGTAACCCCTGTTTATTTGATGTCTTGAAGCATCTAGAGCTGGCTTCTTAACATAGAATTCTGCTCTCCATGGTACATGTTTTATTTTTACTTCCAAGTGGGTTTTCTAGTGGTTTTAGAAAGTGAGACTTTGTCTTCTTCTCATTGTTCCTTTGATGAGACAAGCTGTGCAGCTCAGAGAAGTCCATAGATCCAGCTGGATCCTGGAGGATCTTGGTTCTTGAGGAGTACAGATATGAAATGAACTCCAGTAGAGTAGGGGTGCTTTTCATTCCTCTCTGGCTCAACAATGCTAAAACTCTCCAGCTACCCTAGGGTTAAGGGAAGAGGTGAGGCCTTCATCAAGGCTTTAACTTTCACTGTGGGTGGATGTTTCCTTTAGTACAAGCATAGGGAGGGGAGTTTGCACAAGACAACAATAACCATAAAAACAATTCTAAAGAGTTTGTCAAATTTTGGGTTTTTTTCATTGCTTAAGACTCTAGAAGCCTTAATACAAATAACCATGGAGCTCAGCAGGAGATCTGGTACTCTGTGTGTGTGGTGTTGCTGCTTTCTAGCACCTGTGGAATCTCACACTAAGCTTTTTTGGGTCTCTGACAGTCTAACTGCCTTGTGTGCTCTTCAGGCTCTTGCAGCTGGCACAAGGGATGAGTTGTAGCTCAAGGTTCACATGTCTGAATGGAGGTGTCTGCCTGCATGCTGGGTGTTTGGCTCCCACTGTAGTCTGTAGGGATCTGGTCAAAGCAGTTGGTGGAGCTTAGGGAACTGGCCACTTGTAGCCTGTGCTTTGGGGGCAGGTGTGTGGTGTGGAGGATGTAAACTAGACTGAGGTGGCCTGGCTTGTTTGCTAATGGATACAAATAGAAAACAAGCTTTGTCTTTTAAATGAGTGACAGTCAGGTGTATTCTGTGTGAAACCAGGGGAAGGTGGACACTGAGTTTTATTTTCAAGCTTATTGTAGAGTATTATGTTGTACTGTGGTTTTGATGGTGTCCATATTCTGTGAAATTAATAGTTAATGTAAAGGAAGGTATTTTTAACAGAAGTGAATTCTATTTGCAAGGTAATGCAAGAGTCTTCAGAGTGCACATGAAAAGAAGTCATCTATACATTTCATGCATAGTCAAGGACATTGATGTAGTTCTGTTACCAGTCTTGTGAAGTGTATTTTTCAGTATCTAAGTAAGATGGTGTTAACATTTCAAACACACTTGAAAAAAAAAGTTGTTTGTGAAAGCACTTGCTTAATCCTAAATTAGGAGATCTAGAGCCTGTGTCTTAATATAAAGACATTTTGTTTTCCTTTTTTAAATCAGAAGTCAAAGACTTTTGTCATTGCCACAACAATAATGACACACTCAGAAACAGACCCCTTAGGAAGCAAATACTCAGGCTTTTGTTTCAACTTCACAAAGCAAGATGCCATAAATTTGTAAATAACCACAGATCTCTCCCCTCTTCCCCTAAGCAATTGTTAAAAACAATGAAGCTCACTGTGGAAGTAGAAGCCTGTGTGGCTGGATTTAATTTCAGTAGTTTACAATTTAGTGCCTCTACCCAGAGTACATTAATACACATCAGTTTGATTTGCTATCCAGTATATGCTGAAAAGCAGAATTTTTAAAAAATATATTTGGAAAATTTAATGTATGGTAAAAATTAAGAAGTGGTAAAGTTCTGATTTGTAGTCCCAAACATTTGTAAGTGCCCCAAATAAAATAATCATACATTATTTATCAATAAGCTAGAAAGGATATATGTTATCTTACTCTTCAAAGGCAGAAGGCTAATGGTGAGCTTTTAAAACACTTAGCCTTCAAACAATCACTTCCTAAGGCAGTGAAATCCTTTTTCCAGGCTGCAGCCAGATCACTGGGAGCTGATTTTTGGTGATGTTCGATGGTTCTGTGGTCCCTTTTGACCCACCAAGTTGGTGAGGTTTGGAATTCCAGCCTTAAATCTCCAAGGGCCAGAGCATCCCTGCTGATTGTACAGACGTCTCTCTTCCTGGCCCTATTGCCTGTAACTAAAACCAGTTTAGAAGCAAAGTGAGAGAGAGGCATTAGGTTTATGCAATGGCTTGTGGGCTGTGCATTGGCCACATTTCAGCTTTATCCCATGTGTTAGCTCTAAAAGGAAAAAATAAATATTTGTTCTCTTGGAATTAGAATTTGCTTTCTTGGAATTAGATAATTAACTGCCTGTTTATATATAGGACAGGGAAGTGTGTGAGGATGTGTGTCAAGGGGCAGGGAGAACAGGGAAGTAGGAAAAAAAGTGTTTAACTTTGTGTATATTTATATTGGTAGTGCTAATTTGTTTCCATCCATAGGGAAATCAGAGAAACACTCACATTGGATTGTATGATCTTCAAACAAAACAAAACGAGGTGAGAGCAATACCAGGTTTCTCTCTGGTGATGACATTGCTGTAATGTTTCAGATTTTGATGCTTTGCAACACAGTATGTTGTGTCCTTAAGGAGTGTATCCTTGTTGGAAACAGAAAAGATACTGGGATGATTCTCAGTAGTGTTAGAATGTACCACATTGCAGAATGTCTGAAAGGCTTGAGAGTAGTAAAGCATCATGTCTGCAATCTTCATTTCTAAACAACCTTTCAAACAACAAGTCCTTTCCACTCCTGTTCATATTGCACACGTGTGCCAAGAAGTAAATATTTGGAGGTTTTTTATATGTGCATTCTTGGCCTGTTTGGTGATACTGTTTTAAGAGATTATTTTATTCTAAAACTGAACACATTTCAATTCAGTAACTAAAATCATGATAAGTTTTTGAAGGTGTCCCCATAATCGTATAAGTGAAATTTTATATTTATAGAGAGGTCTGCTGTGCTGCTCCAGTGGCAACATAGAGCTCAAAAGAACCACTAAAAAAAAAAAAAGAGAAAAAGGAGAACTGTTACAATTCAAACCTGAAATGTGGTTCTTCTGGGCATGAAAAGATATGGCTTAAAGATAAAAACTGTGGGACAGCAGCATTTTCCTAAGTAATTAGATGGTTTCCTCTGTGGAGTTTGAAAAAGCAGAGTTATTAACATTACTGTGTTTCTCTGTAGCACCTCTATATGTTTGAGAAGAATCTGCACATAATCAGCTGTTCTATCAACAATGAAAGGACCTTATTGGGTAAATATGTGCTTTATCATTAGATTTTTTTTTTTTTTGGTAAAGATTTAGTTTAGCAGGGTGTACATTTGGGTTTAGAATTACTTAAATGTATTTTGACCTATGTATTGCCCATAGCAGTTTATAAATTTCTGTGGATCCATCATCAAATGTAGGTAACAACATAAAGACACAGCTGTGACAATATTGCTGTTTTATTAAAACATCTAAGACACACTGCCCCTTTGTTCACTCTCTCCTCCTGCATTTGTGCATACCTGCTACATCTGGAAGAGCTTCTCGTGTTCCTTTAACATACATGTTTTTGGTAAAAGAATTGTGATGCTCATTCTTCAAGGATGTTTGGTAAGATTACTGTCAAATATGCACACTGACTGTGGTTGTGTTGGTGTTTTCTCCTCCCACAGCAGTCAGCTTCTGTCAATATACAGAGGAAGAAAGAGCAAGTCAGCTCTTACAGTCAGGTACTGCACGTGGATTTTTTAATACTGTTTGAAATATTGTACCTTTTTGCTTTCTTTCTCAGGTGTTTCTGTTTAGAAAATAAACTTGCTTACATAAAAGAATATTATCTAAAACATTTTCCTTTTGCAGTGTCCAAGTATTTAACCTTGCTAATTGAAATTCATCCCATTAATAATGTGAGAGTCCTAAAGGCTGTGGACAGCTGTGTTCGAGTACAGGTAAAGTACCCAACTAATCTGAAGATAAGCCTCTTTAATCTGCTGTGCTAGAGAGAAAACATGATTTAGTGCAGAAGAGACATCATGTTGACTTGCAACTGTTACAGAGATAATGTCCCCTGTTTCTTCAGAGAAATAAAAAAATGTCATAAAATGAAACTTGATAAAATGTTTGGTATAGACTATTTCTCCAACATGAGGGCTGTTTTTTTATTTCTCTTCAGTCTTCCAAATTTTGCAGTTATAGTGACTGGTGACTATTAGTATGTAATAATAGCTATTATTATTAATTAAATATCATTAATGTGTCTGATTAAATTAAAAATACATAAATATCCAGCTTAAAAAAAAACCCAAAACATTTTAGATAAATGTTCTGAACGTCTTTGCTTTTTTACTTACTTTTGTGAAATTTTCTGTACAGTTTCTTTATCCAGTTGAAGGCAGAAATGCTTCTAGAGAAAGTCGTCTCTTGCTAGTTTCAGAAGATAAATGTGAGTTAATATTTTCAAAGTACATTGTAAGTCTTTTATCTCAAGATGATTATAGATTGTATTTTTGGTAGACTTTTATTGGGGAAAAAAAACAGGAAAAAGAAGGGTGTGAGTTATTCTAGGTATTCCAAAGGTCTTTCAAAAACTGTATAATTTTTTACCAGATTTTTTTTTCAATATTAACAGAATGGCCATCTTTTCCACAATTAGTTGCTTAGCTCTTGCATTCATCAGTTATCTTTATTTCTAAAAAAGCTAAAATAGACTCCTTATAACTGCCTATATAAATCCAGAGCAAATTAATTGACTGAAAGATTTCATTTAACATGGGAAGTGGGACAAGAATAGAGCAATAGTTCCTTGGATTCAGCTAACATTGCATGTTCAGCCTAATCTAATGGCAGGGAATGGATAAAGATGGACACTTGGAAAAGACTGGGTTTTTCCTTCTTATTTCCATCCCCTTGGAGAGGCCCATCTTCCCTGAGCTAGACACCAACCTTGGGAAGGTGGCCTTAGGTGGACAGAGCTAAATCAGAAACACAACATCTGCTGGGTGAATGTTGCATTTCTCATGCAGGCCAGCTGTGGACAACTTCCAGGAGTTTTGTGTGGGACAGGATTGTGAGGGGTGTTCATGGCAGGAAGTGAAACAGGTCAGGGATGGTCTTGGACATGGACATGCAGCTCTGCAGACTCTTTCTCTTCACGGGTGCTCTGTTTAAAAGCATTAAAAAATGTTTGTAATAATTTTTTAAAAATTTTATTTTAAAGATATTGAACAATATGACATTCATGTTGTTGCAGAAGAACACAAAGTGGTAAGATTCAAAAATCTTTGGGTTTGAGGGTTTTTGTTTTACTTTAATTAATTTAGCTGAAAGTTTTGAATTTTTTTTAGTTATATACTTGGGCAACACAAAGTTTATTAAAGAAAGCATGATTACTATGGCAACTTATGCAGGTGACCGCAAAGCTGATTGAAAAACTTTACACCTTGTAATCTATGAGGAAATTTTTTTATTTTACTGGGCTTGTTATGTTTTGCTGAGTGCTTCAGTGTGTTAGAAGTTGGGAGTAGTTATTATATTTATTAATTTTAAAACTATTTTAAATATTTGCAACCATTTAAAATATCTTCAGAGTTGCCTTCCTAACCTTGTCTATTATGAGTCTGTGTGAACCCAGTAGAGGATTCACTTAAAAAGAAAAATGAGCAGAAGATGTAAAACTTAGATAGAGTCTGAGTACAGTGAATGTTCCAATATCTGTTTCCCCTCTTTCTTTTTCTGTTTATAACATTAATTTGTTGTCAAAAAATTGTGGATATTCTCCTTGAAAGACTTGTTGTTAATGAGCACTTGTCTAATATTGTAATGGTTGTGTCATGAAAGCCAGTGTTTTGTGTTATGGAGGTGAATACAAGCTTTGAAGGAAAAGTTAAGCACCTGATTTTTATCCTTTCAGTCTTTCATGGTTTTCTCAGTTTGTCATGACCCTTCAAACAGATGCATTTTATATTCTAGACTACAGTAGTGGAGTAAAGACTTAAGTATAATCACAAAACAGATTAATCTGATGTCCTTCTGACAAACAGATTTGTTTTGGTTGACATGAAATCTCCCTGTATCATGCAAGTGTGCATGTATACAATCCCAAGAGTTTTCCACAGTTCTAGCCTTTTCTCTACTCCAGCCCTCTCTCTCACATGGCTGAGGCTTTGGATAGAAACCTCTTTTGGAGCTGTCACTTCTCCCTTCTGAAGTTAATGTAGCTGGTTCTGAACTGACTGTGGTATTTCCATCCTCTCTGAGGAAGGGTGCCTCTGCTATTCTTTGTTCACTTTGAGCAGTTTGAGTGGTGAATTTCTTGCAAGCAAGGAAGACTGAAGAAAAGTTTTGTTAGTAGGTGTACTCTGAAAACTGTGCTTCTGATCTCTTTAAACTGAGCACCTTGCACACAACAAAGGTGGACTTCATGCTGCTGACAGGAGCCTGTTCCTTTCAAGCTATTTGTGTGTGTTCTCTCACTGCTTTTCTCTTTAAAGTACAGACTGTGCATAATTGTTGCAAAACCCTATTTGATGACTTCTCATATTTTTATTCTTTCCCTGTAGGTGATTCAAAAGTCAGGTCAGCTTCCAAGAGCCAAAGTTGTAGATGACCTCGTTTGGGCACAGTGGGATATGATGGAGCAGAGACTCTTCTACATTGTTCCAAAGGTGAGCTGAAAGTCATTCTTGCAGATTTTGCTCCTGCCTTCACTAAAAAGTGAAGTTTTAAGGGTGTGGAGTAGCAAGTGGGGGTTTGTTTTCCTTAGGATGGTCTTTCTTGTTCTTGCCTCAAATAACTTCAAGCAAAAGCCAAACTTGCCGTAGCTGCTGTTGTGGTTAGTACATGGCAAGAAGACTGGTGGTCTTAGTGCTTTCTACAAAAAAGGTGGGCTTGGTAATTTATTTTTTTTCTTGCTTTAGAAAGGTCTTCAATTCAAAAGTATCTATATCTATCCAAAACTGCTGTGAGTATAATGCCTCTCTTCTAGAGAATTCACATCTAGAAAGTATATTGTGTGCAGACTTACTGGGTGACCAAATGAGGACAGGTTGTTGGCAAGAAGCTCTGAAACTCTCAGGGTTTGGATTTTTTATTTTGTCTGAGGGATATTTGCGCTTGATGCATTCTCTATGAATAAAAACAAGATTTTTCTTTATTCTTCTTAGCCACGAAGAGAACGAATGTTAGGAAATAACAGGAAGTGAACTGTGATGGAGAAATGTATTTATGTTTTTGTTTCTGAGATACTTTTTTGAACTGACCAAAGTAAGATGCAATTCTTTTTACCATATAGGTAGATATGAAAAACATTTTTTTAACCTTCTAAAATGTGTGAGACATGTATTGTTGTGCTTAAGTGAGAGCCCACGCAATTATATATGATTGGCAGATAATGATCTGGGACAGGAAGGAAGCATGTCATAGTGCTATTGTAAGGGGTTATATGTGGTTTTTAAATTCTTTTGTCCCCTAACTTCTGCATATCTGTTAGCAAAGCAGGTTGAGTGTGAAGAATGGTGCTGAGTATCCAGTCACTTCTCAGTCTGTATAATATCCTTTCTTACTTACAAAACACATCCTTTTTAATTCCAGGAATCAAAGAGTACTTTAAGGTGTGTCCAGTTTTATCCTGAGGAAAATTTTAACTCAATAGTAAGTTATGAGTATTTTATTATAAATGGTTTTCAGTGGAATGTAATTATACTGGTGTAGAGATCTGTTTGTCTTTTTCATTGTTGAAACTTTTTCAGAGGAAAACTGGAGTTTCTTGGGGTTTTTTGCATTAGTTTCTTGTCAAGAATATATTCAGTCAGATTCAGATTTTTCCCACAGTAAGGTACTTTAGTGGAATTGCACTTTTCTTCACCTAGAAGGCAGTAAGTGACATTCATGACACAATACTGAACTTATACTCACTTATTGAAAAAGCAGGCTTATCAAGTGCACTAGAGAAAGAAACCATGTGATTTTGTGTCAGTTTGAGTGAGACAGGAACATTTGTTGCAGCCAAAATACGAAAAGCAACATAAAAATTACAACGTGATTGTTACTATACCTTTGTCCCAGTGGCTTTTATTTTCTCCTTTTAAAAAAGAATCTGTTTTATGGGGGTTGTTGACATGACTGTAAGGAGGATAAATAAACTTGTTAAAATGTTGAATCTGGTGAAATGTGACTATAACACATTTTACTGGTCTGAAATGCTAAACATAGTATATTGACCTCTGTAAAGAACAGGTTTGTTTTCCTTTTTGTTTAACAGCTGGAATCACACCTGGATATTGCTGTAAATGACACACAATTAAAGTAAGTTGGTTTTTTAAATGTTTTGGTTTGCTTTCCTTTCAATATACGTGGTAACATTTTACAAACCTAAGTAAAATTTGTCCAAACCACAGTATCTTTGTTTGCAGTTGCCTACATGGCACTGGAACATGAGAATAACATGAAAACTGGGTCCAGACCTCCAGTTCTTATTCTCATCAGGGCCAGCTGTAAAAAGTAATTTAATCCTTGACTGCTTCTTAGTGCCATTTAAAAAAATTATTTGTCTGAAGAGCTAGCTGTGGGTTAAACTTTCTGATTATGCTGAACCTATTTAAATTAATTTGCTTTAACCTTGGTCACCCATTTAATGGTGATGTCAAAATATCTGTCAAGGGAAGCTCTGCATTTTTAATTGCTGTTTTATTGGGCAGTTAAGCAAACCAGTAGCACCTTTTTATGGCCTGTGAAGACACTGCCTGTACTCTGTTTTCCTCCAGCATGCTCCTTCCAGCAGGCTGCACTTCCAAAGACAAAGATTTGTCTGATTCTCATGACTGCATCTGAGCTTGTCTCCTGAGGGCTCCCTTTTAACTGAGGGAAAAAACTATTCAGGATGGTTTTACTCTGTCATAATCCTCATCTATCTTTACATTCCAAAAGGGCCCATTTATTTTTGTGAATAAAAAGGGAGGCCAGAGCTGTTAGGCCAGGTATCAATAGCTGAAGGTGGTTTAGTTGCACCCTGCCCCAGCTGCGGTCACGGAATGTCTCAGTGCTGTGCACAAGGCTCAGTGTGGTGCTCCTGCACATACAGGTTGTGTCCTCTTACAGTTGGTGCTGAAAGAACACACCTCTTGTAAGAGCTTCAGTGCTGTATTTTACTTTATTTTATTGGTTTTCAAAATTACTGCAGAAGACCAAAGGGAAAATCCCTACAGGATCAAAATACTTCCTGAAAGAAAATACAACCAGACAAAAAAGCCACCCAGCAACAAAAAAAATGAAGCAGACTGACTATAATCTTGTGCTGCATGTTTTGCAGGGTGAAAGTAGGCCTTGTAGATTTAAAAATATGTAAAACCATTAAAACACAGGCAGCATGAGACTGAAAATGTCACGGTATAACAAGTTCCATGTGAGTGTGATTTTGAGCTTTTCTTTTCAAGTATTTCCACTGAAGGTAGTGTCCTGATTGCAGATTAAAATGTAGCTTTACAGACATGGGTTGTACAATTAGTCTGCAAAACCTGTGAGTTATTAGGTGTCACAAGTATTTGGATTTCCAGTATGTCATGACAACTTGCTTTCACTTCAAAGTATAGGAATGGTTGGAGAGTGAATATGAAGTTGTCAGGTATGTTCAAAATTGGTGGATAACAGTGTGCAGTCTCGGAATTCTTGTTTCTAAGAGCATTGAGCAAATTGGTTAAAGCCCAATTTAACTTGTATTGCAGAATATTTGATTATAATTTAATTATTGTATTTTGGTTACATAGTGACTGTTATGGTGATCTTTTTGTTGTGATAAATCTCTGTGGATGAAGTGCTTTACTTAGTGATCTTTATTTGCTCATAGACTTGTGAATTTTGGATATGATTACTGTCAAGATCAAGATGTTGCATCTAAATCTTTGAACCTTCAGGTTTTCACAAGTAAAGCAGGTAATGAGTAAATCAAGTATGGTCAAAATTACCTCCACTAGTAATTATCATGCAGTGTAATCCTAATTGATTACTGAGTTTATTCATAAAATATTGGAAAACACACAAAAGTACAAAAATTTATAATGTGAGTGTGAGATTTGTATTCCTTTAGAGCATACTTGGCAGGTAACTGTGAGGAGAGGGAGAAGGCAACTGTGCTTTATTAGTATTAATAAATTTCTTACCTTCTGAAAGCTGCAGTGAAGTTGAGCTGAAGTACCCAGGGTGTTATATATCAACACCAACAACAAAACAGTCACCCAGAAACCTTTTGGTAGCCTATCTTCAAAGAACTGATACCAGTGAAATCTCTCAGCCTAACACCCTAGCATTTTCCTAGCAGTTTCAGAACCCAGCAGGTACCAAAGTGTGGCTGTGTTACATTAAAGCAATCTAATGTTAAAGCTGACCAAAATGATGTTAGAAAGTAAATTCAAGGAAGGTTTTGCCTGGGTTTCTGATCTAGTATATGTTTGTGTTACAGAATGGACATATGTGGACATAGCATGTGCAATGCAGGCTTTAAGAGCTTCTTATTGCTGTTAGAATGTGGTGTTTAGAAGGTCCAAGTATGTGATACTAAACATGGTATGTGCTACTCAAGGGTTTAGTATATATATGATTCCTTAAACTTGAACCTAAAATGTTTCTTAAACCTTTGGAGTCTCCCTCCATCTTGAGGTATGCCATGAGCTTTTTTGGATTAAAAGCTTGTCTCAAGAGGTATCTCTTCATCACAGCTCCTTTCAGCTTCTGAATTAGACTATCCAGGCAGGCAGAGATAGATGGTGTCTGTTTAACCTTTGACTGGTCAGCAGTTGCACAGGGAAGTGTTGCAGGAGAGGCTTTACCTGTCCCTCCCCGAGGCCTCTGTGCACACAGGAACTGCTGAGCTGTCTGCCACTTGCACTGAAACGACCATCAGTGCAAATCAAGTGAAATGTCCTTCCCTGAGGCCTGCTGTGCACACAGTGAACTGCTGTGCTGTCTGCCACTTGCACTGAAACGACCATTAGTGCAAATCAAGTGAAATACAGCTTCCTTACACGGATTTCTTTCCTTACCAAGGCAAACTGCTTGCTTATGAAGATTAGAGGGAAGGAATTAGAAGTAAGAAAAAGCCAAGTTTCTATCTTTCAAATGTAGATGGGGCTTTTTCTCTGTTTCTCTCTTATATAATATAACAGCCAGTCCAATAATGGAAAGTATTATAGATTTGTATATAGGTTTCCTTTTAAAACCTATACTTCTCTGGGGAGGAGTATATTCAGATTGAAATACCTCCTTGAGTTTAGGATGAAATTCAGTCATCCTTCAACAAGACTTGTTTAGTTACTGTGAAGGAAAATATTTTTTTCTGTCTGGTCACACAATATTTAAAGTATGTGAGGAACCTTTCTAAAGCCAACAAGCCTTGTTCAGTCACTGTGAAGTAAAATGTTTTTTTTCTGTCTGGTCACACAATATTTAAAGTATGTGAGGAACCTTTCTAAAGCAAAAGCAAGAGTAAGTGCTTTTCTTTGCACTTACTGTGAAAAAGATAATTTGACAATTGCACGTAAATGAGATTACTGTATGTGGCTTTTCCTTGAATAATATTTAAAACTGAGGATTACCTTGCACAACCCATTTCTGGTAATTAACAGTTTGTACCAAGTTATTTTGGTGCTAAAAGCATATCTAGTTATTGAAGAACACTGTGGGTAATCACACTAAAGATTCCCTTTTGTGCCTCGGGGTGATTTGCAAAACTGGACTGCAAGTTCTTTGTGAAGCAGACTGTGCCTGCTGTGGGACTGCTAGCACAGCTCTGATATTGATGCCAGTATCCCTGCTCAGACTTCAGATATCCCTGGCAAAGTGTAATTGGCAAAACTTCAAACTGCAATATTTCATGCAATTTCCCATGTAATTAAACTGTTATTGGCTCCTGCCAATATGAACTCTGAATGAAATCACTTCTCCTTTCTCAAACTTCTGCAACAGAAAAGTAGCTCTGTTCCTTACACTCAGCACAGACAAAATCTCTCCAGATAAAAACTTCCTCGTAATTCTTGAATAGCTGAGATCAAGCAGTTCCAGTCTCAGAATTAACTCGGCATGTCCAGAATTCAGTGGTTATTAGATAAACACTGTACTGTTATATTTTCTCTTAGTATTTTAGAAATATTTTTCAATTAAATTTGCTCAATATTTTAAAAAATACAAACAGTAAGAGGTCATAGACACTGGATTACCATCAGCTAACTATCCCCTGATATTTAGGCATCTGGACTATGTTTCTAGAGAGAAATAGGCATCTCCAGAGTATGAGTCAATCCATATTTCTTTGTTTCCTGAATAGGGCTCTAAATGAGAGATGTTTGGATGGCTGAAGTTAAGTGAGGCAAGTCCCAACTAAGTCAGTACAACTAGACAAAATGCCCTGGTGCAATGTTGTATTTCAGTTGTGACATTTGGATGCTTTGTTGAGATGCTGTTACAGCCTCATGTCTTGAGTTTTTGCTTGAACAGAAATGAGGAATTTAGTTAAAGTTTCCTAGGGAAAACTTAATTTCTGCATATCATAGGTGACTCTTACAGTCTCAGTGGGCTGACTTTGTCATAACTCGTGTTTCCTGAATAGGAGTAGAATTTAATTTTAAAGTTCTTGCTTCTCTTTATTTTTTTTTTAACCTTTGTGGTCAATATCTTTTTTCCGTTTTATTTCTGGAAAGACAAGTGTCCATCCAAGTATATCCTCACATAAGTCTTCTCACCTTGCAGTATTCAGCTACAGCTTTTACTGCTTGCAAATGATTTTGAAATGAGTGTGGAAGACCTGGCTCTGCATACGGTTGCAATAGGCTAATAACCTTTCCCTGCAGCAGCCCAACCCAGCTCTAATTTGCAGAGAGCACTGCTAAGGGTAGGAAAGGAGTCTGTGATGTATTCTCAGTCTGTGGCTGCTCTACTGGGATTGCCAGGACTGTGTCAGATGTAACTTTGCTTGGACACCTGTTGGTCTGAGGCTGCCATGTTTCTGTCTGTATTAACAAAGCACCGTTTGTTATTTCCGGTTGTTTGTAGCTCAGTTTGTTGACACATGGACCAATATTGTTGAGCTGAAAGATGCACATCCTATTTATAGTCTCCCATAGCTGCTGTTTCTGTGGCCAGCTTGCACATTGCCCACTGACACTTCAGTCTGAACACCCTCACTTGAATGTTGTGCAATTTACAGAGCAGTGTACACAGAAGACACCAGCATACAAAAAGGAAATTTGCAGTGCTGGAAGGGAGCTGTTGATAATAAAACAGCAATCCAGTGGGTTGCTGGAACTTCTCCAGTCTTCCTCATGAGTCCTGATGCTGCTACTTTAAAAATTATGCATGTTCTGAAAGGAGCCAAGTGCTCTGGCAAAATGCCCTGTCTGTTGTCTGAATGACTCAAATATCCAAGCAAAACTGTATCAAACCATATTCAGTCAGCTAAAAATAAGCAGAAAGAAAAATTGCATCTTAAGAAAGCAGTTACCTTCCCCAGAGGGCAGAAGCATGAACTGTCTCAGCCATATCTGTACAGCCTTGTGGTATGAAATACTGAAGCATTTATTCAAATAAAGTAACTGGGTACCTGTGCTTTTTTTGTGCTTGTGCTTTTTCCATAATGTGCCGTTTTCTGCATAACTTTTATACAGAGCCTTTTATTTTTACCTGTATTAGCATTACTTTCTTTTCTTCTTTTAAATGATAAATTTCCAATAAAGGTAAAAGGTGAATGGTCATATTTGTGGATGAGCTTTCCCAGCTGTATTGGGATAATGTGGTTTGGAAGCTGTTTTTAACATGAAAGCATCAGAGTAAGGGGATTAAAGTTTTGTAAGAGATGAAAGCAGGGTTACCATCCAGTGGGGTCAAAACAGGATCAGTCTGATCTAGAATTATTCTGGGTGTGGGAAACCTTCCTGTATGCAGTATCCTGGCTGAAATAAACTTGTCCCAAAGACTGACTTCCCTTCTAAAAATGGTAATAGCAGCTCTTTGGGCTGGAAAGGGGAGAAGTGGCAATCACTTCTAGTGTGAGAAAGCCTTGGTAGTGTTTTCATGCTGCTGCCAATATGAGATTACTTGAAAAGCAAAGAAATACTGTTTTATTATGTTGTTGAGCGTATCTGACAGCTCCTGAACACAAAATATCTGGATTGAGGCAGTTTGTGGAAAGAAAGGCTTGGTCAGTTTTCTGGCTGCAAGCATGATTTCTCCTGGAAATGGCTAAGATGTTACATCCCCTAAAAGAAAGAACTGGCCATGACAGGACCCAGGTTTCCATTGTGCCAGATTGCTTCCTCTGTTTTTCTTGATTTTGTTGCATTAGGTAAATAATGATTACAGTCCATAATAGATATTCCTGTAATCCTTATCTTTTTTGAGAGATTATTTTTAGTTTCTAATTTGAAACAGTCTTGATTTGGTTTTGTGCAGTATAAAGATATCTAGATATTCAGCTGGACAAGTGAATTTTCTTTCCCTATTTTGTCTTTTTAGGAGGCTTGTGTGTGTGTTGTAGTCTAGCCTCTGATATTCCTCATGAGATCATATACTCCATATATTTTTTACATAAAGGTAAGACTAACTTGTTAACTTACTGTACCTTATTTTGGAGAATGGCAGTGTGCTGAAAGAGTCAGAGAATGCCTTTCAAAACAAAGAACTACCAAAGCTGCAGACAATAAACTACTGTGACTGGTGTTTCAAGACAGCAGCTGCCTTTAGCTGCAGAGTTGGCTTTCCTGCTGTAGGCTTCCTGCCTGATGCTGAGTGAGTAGCTTCAAACCAGTGGCCTTGTAAATGGTTATTAATTTGGTCCCTTATTTCTAGCCAGACTTTCCGGCATGCTGAGCACAGACATCAATGAAATCTGTGGGAGCTTGCAGGTGTGTTGTACTTATGCCATAAGGCATTTGTATGGGAAATAGAGCCAACAGCTCTTAGCTTGAATGTCTGTTTAGAATTCCAGTTCAATGTGTCATTTTCACAGCAAGAGGTGCAACACCCACTGACTCTAAGAATAGTTGCTGTGTAAGTGGTGCTCTGGCTCTTAAAGTTAAGACCTTTGTTTTAAAATAATAAAGGATATTGTTTTATTCCAATCAGAATAAAAGTTCTCATTATCAAGATTTTCTTATTTGATACCTGGACGGAGGGGCAAATTATTTCTCAATTGATAAGCTGCATAAGATGGAGTAACTGCGTTCAAGTGCACACTATGTTCTACCTTAACTGTTTGCTTTCTTGTGTCAGGATGCTTCCCATATGTCAGAGCTGCACATAACACATTACTTGCTGCTGGAATATTGTTGGATTGAGCGAGCTACCTTTTTGTGTTCTTGAAGGCATTAGGAAATTGGGAAAAGTCCTTTTTGGGTGTGACACACTGTGCATTGCACTGCTGTGAAGGGCTGATTTCCCCAGACACACCTGATGTGTCGCCAAAGAGTTGTTGGATTGCTAGGAGCCAACCATGGCCCTTTTACAGCCTGATCTGCACTAGGAAGAAACTGAGGATAAATATTGACATTGACTAGCTAAGTCTGAAATGACCTCTGGAAATGGAATGGAGTTGTTTGGTGCAGAGCTGTTTGTGGGTTCATGTAAGATTCATCAGTTGTACAAGAGAATTTTAGTAATGATCCTGCAGTGACCCACAGCAGCAGTGGTATGTTGGGTCCATTACTCACATTTTGGAGTCCATAAGCCATATTTTGAAGACATTTAAGAAGCTCAGTTTGTTCTGCAGCCTCTGTAATCTTGACTGGAAGCTTCCCACCCCTGCTAAAACAGTCACTGCAGCATAAACAGAGAAGTCACGATGTTGCAGTTGAATTCTGCAGTGCTGCTTTTAGTTTGCATGTGGTCATGCTGGCAAGTGACAAAGTGGTGATGGGGAGTACACTGACTCATTGCAAGCTAGCTTCAGTCAGCAATTTGTATGAAAAACTATTATCTTTTGACACCTCTGCCTCTGTAGAGTTGCTGTTGGTTTTCTCTTGGTGGTCCTGTAAACTGTGGATCTTATAGTGAATTTCCATGCATTATCAAGTAGCATCCTGATCATGACACCATTAGTTACTAGAATCTTCAGCTTTTCTCAGAGACAGAGGAAATGTGAGGGCATTGTGTCATTCTTACTGGGTGTCAGAAGTGTGGTACAAGTCTAGATTAAAACAACAGCTGTGCTGATGCATAGCCCATGCAAACACAGCAGGTCTGAAATTGGCCTTTGTATAAACTGAGCTGAACTAAATTAGAGCAATAAGGCATGAAGATAAACAAAGTGGAAATTCTTTAAAGCAATTGAAAGACCACCAGAATGTGAAACACAGCTACATAAAGGATTTGCATTTGTGTTTTTCTGGGGAAAGGTATTTTCACACAAGCTTCCTCTGGGATGGAGTGCTTCTTTAAACACAAACGTAGGCTGTACAGTGCATGGCTAGTTTTCACACACTGAAGAACTGCGTTGTGTATGTACCAGTCTACTGAGTGTGCAGTCACTCAGTTCAGGATGGGTTAAATCTATCTGTGCAGATAACCCCATAAAGCAGTCTAAAAGATCCCCGTTTGGGTCTATGGGAACTGCAGAAGTTTCTAGCTATAAAGTCGTAGGTGGATTGTAACAAATGGTGTTTATTGTTTGAGGTTTTTAAAGGGGTTTTTTTTTCCCCCTCAGGTTACAACAAAACTTTTACAGTTTCTCTGGAAAGAACAAAATCTAATCAATTCAAGGAAGTGGCTTTTATGAATCTTGGTAGGTTACTTGTGTTACTTTCCTGTGTGATTGCCATTCTCTGTGTAGTACAGAGAGACAAATGACTAACTCTTCTCTGGAAGGAAAGGATTTTTTTTTCCTTGGCTTTAGGTAGCAGTGTTATTTTGCTGCTTTTCTTCTGCTTGCCTTTTGTATTTGGCATTTGATATTGCAATGCCTCACGATTAGTAAGCAGCTTCCTCTGAAATTGCCTCAAAATCTGTGCTGGACTCCAGCTGCCGAGTTCTTGAGTATCTCAAGTTTCTTGACTCCTACCCTGGAAACCCAAATGTACTGCTAGTGTTTCCTGTGTTAATACAACAGCAGCTTTTAATTAACTCCTTTTATATTTCCTAGATATAATCAATTCCTGACAGAGAAGTGGGCCAAGTTGAGAATCATGTGAAAGAGCCTCTTAAAGCAAATAAGTGATCAGGTGCTAAATTGACCACTGTTTTTTCTTTAAATAGACTATTATGTGGCTGCTTATTTGCCTGGCCAGTTCCTGCACCTCCTGAACATTCAACATCCTGACATGCTGTGCTATAGTTTATTTCTGACAGGTATAGTAAAACTGCTTTAAGCAATTTAATTGTTGTGGAAACTTGTTCATATCTCTTTACATGGAAGTTGTATTTCTCAATGTTTCCTTATTGCACAGTGTTCTGACAAAGGAAGGATATTGAAAAAATAAGAATGACATTTTTGCTACTTTCCATTTTAGAAAGAGAAGCTGAACTGGCATTTCATACTTTATGTATTTCATACTTCTTGCTTGTTATGAAATGGAAGAAGACCTTTCACTGAATTTGAAATTCTCTGCCTTGGTTTCACAGTTTCCCTTCCCCCAGCTTTGCCCATGGTTCTTGGTCCTCCACTGTTTTCTAATTTCACATGAGATGTAAATTTGATTTTACATTTCCTTCCTCCAATTGAGTTGCTCTAAATGTGTGTATTTGGAGGGTGTGGGGAAAGGAAATCTGTGTTTCCTTCACCTGATCAGGCTGATGCAATTTAATTTAGAGTCTCATCTGAGATGCGTGTTACTTCATTTCCAATGCGTTTCCAACAAACATGTCGTTGTGGGAAGTGGTTTATTTTTGGAAGTGGGGTGCCTTTGTTTGAAAACAGAAATCTCTTGTTCTGATTGGGTGAAGGGGACATAAATTTTGGAAACTGTTGCAGAGGCAGTGTCATAGGAAGCTAATACCTATTTTGTATGTGTAATGAAATACTGTCCTGCTAAAAATGAGTGGGAAGTATCACTGCTGGATGGTGGGTCTGATTTCTCTGATGCAAGGGCTCTGAAATATGGTACCTGTATGGTACCATGGTGGTGAACACTGGTACATAAATACAATGGTTTTGTTCTGATGCTTCAGTGAATAATCTTAGAGCAGAACCTTCCTGTTCTGGCAATTTGGATTGATGGCAAGACATCCACCAAAAGAAGTTTGTATCATGCTTCTGCATGTGAGCAGTTCTGACCTGCACAAACTGTACCAATAGGTGCTAATTCTAGTGCTGAACTTGTGCAACTGTCCTTGTGCTCTGCTCTGTTCCATCACATGTACTCTGATTTGCCTTGGTGATTTGCAGCATTGTGAGCCTGAAATCTCTACACCTGCTCTGTGTCAGCTATAGGGAAGGAGAGAAGTGAGTGTGCTCTGTGCTCCTTATCTGCCTTCTTTATGGAGCCTGCACCATTCCTACTCCTCTTCAGTATATACTACCAGGGTAGGCAGTGCAAGAGGAAGACTCTTTCTTACTGCTGGGGGCCTAGGAATCTTAGGAGAAATACCGGTAGCAGGCAAATTTTATGTTCTTACTCCTTTTTGTTCTCAAACCAATGTTCTTCAGGTGAGGATGCAAGAATTGACACATTACAAAACTGTTCCATCCGGTCCCCATGGGTGTCAGCAGTCCTGGACTGCAATGCAGGAAGTCTGTATGATGTGAGCATCAGTGACAGTGCCTTGCTGCAGTTCCTACAGAAGAGCAAACGAGACTGTGAGAGATTGGCAGCTCTGCATTGTGCCCTGCTCTACTTCCAACACACAGAAGACTTGGAAATGCAGGTGGGAAAAGAACCTTCTCTAAATTTTTTCCCAGTGACTGATGTCTTATACAAGCAGGAGCAGGGCATGAATGTCATCAGCCAAAGAAAGGTCCTGATTCACCTGGCAGTGCCAAGAGGCTCATCAGCTGGGCTGCCCTAAACCCTGTTATCAGTCCAGTCTGTCCTGAAAACACTTATGTCTCTATCACTACTCCATGCAAAGTGCTAACTACCAAAACCAAATTTTCTATGCTCTCTTACAACACTTGATTAAACAGAGAGATGTGACAAGCTTTCTGTTCTCATTCTGACAGATTATTCATTGGATTTCTGAGAACCTGTCAACATGTCATTCTTTTAACCCCATTCAAGAATTTATCATTGGTAGGTATTTATTTTCCTGCATTCTGAATTTTCCTGCATACTCCAGTTGACACTGAGGAGAGGTCATGGCAGTGCAAACTGACTCTTATTTCTGAACTTTTTGGTTATGATTTGTATTACTAACCTGCATTTTGTGGCATTAAGAGACAGTATCAGTAGTTTAGAAGATACACATACATTTCAAAATCAGATTGGCAGTAAAAACTTTTCAAATGCATTCTTCTGTCTAATGGAACAAATGGATTTATCATTATTTTAGGTCTCTGGAGATTGTCTCCTCAACTCCATTCTCCTCTAGCTCTAGCCCAAACCATTTTTTTCAAAAGGATTTGGCTTATCATGATACTCTCTTCTAATAGGTAGTCTCAGTCTAGCCAGTGCAGAGTCTTTGTACAAAGGACCCCTGCAGTGCTGAGCTGTAGCCAAGCAGCTGACCCAGCCCTGCAGCCATCTGGACTTCTCTTCCTCCTTTTGTGCACAGAATGGGACCAGTTCCACAATGGAGGAAGCTGTTTCAGAGACAGCAGCAGGATTTGTCCCTAAAAAAGTGTCAGATAAGGAATAGTGAAGCCTACTCTTGTTGACTGATAGTTTATACAATCTTGCCCTTGTAAATCTTTTTACATTACATTCAGCCTCCCTGTACTGCAGAATGTGTCCAGAAACTCAGAACCTGGATAAACTCCTGCCCTACACATCACTGCATGACTGGATTGGGGTAAGATAACAGCTGGTATTTTAATTAATAGCTAGAGGGTCTGGTTTTTTATCCCTTAGTACAGCCTATGGCTTACCTTTTCATAGATATGCTCCGAATTGATACCTTTATGCCTGTGCTTTATGCCTGTTTTAGTTTGCCAAGTCTTACCCTTTGTGGTGTTTTCCATTAGTCAATTTTTTTGTTAACAAATAAAAGCATTTGCAAAACCAAGAACAGTTATTATAATTGAATGGACAGTTAAATATCTCAGTTTTCATCATGAAGTATTCATTTATTCCTTATCATATGAGGTTTATAATAAATACAAAATACATTTAACCAGCAAAATCATGCAGTTTTCAGGACAAACAGAATCAGTAGAGTTAAGATTTACAAGTAAGCTTGCAGAAGTAAAATAACTTCCAGCAAGACTTTACAGTTAGAGCAAATAGTGTCTTAATTTCTCTGCTGTGACACTGTTCTAATATATTGTTTTTTTTTCTAAAAAATAAGGGCACAGTTTTGGCTAGCTAGCTAGTTTCCTGGAGGAAGTGGGTGATGGAGAATTGTTTAGATGCCCCACGTTCATTGCTAAATTGTGAGACTATAAATAATTTATCTGTATTTATAGGTTGTCCCTGGAGTAATATGTGCCACAGACATTATTTCTCTACCTGTGTTGGAGGTAAGTTCCAGTATAAAACCATATTTGTATTTGCAGATTAATAGCTGCTTTTTTTTGTGGATTGGGGGCATGCTAACTATTAATGCAGCAGTATCCCCACTGCCCTGTCCAAAAATAGATGCGAACAGGAAATTGCCCTGTTGGAAATGATTTATGCATTTACTAAAATATCAGTTAATCAGACTCAAAGATGGTGGGGTTTTTTTCCCCTTTCTGAAGACACTTCTATTCAACAGGGAGGATTATCCACTAATTAATTGTTAGTCCGATTGATACCACTTCACTTTATGACTTTGACTTGGTAGCTGAAGGCAGAGGTGGCATAACAGACAAGTAGGATTGTTATGTTATTGTTATATTGTTATGTTATTCATCTACATGTCTACATGTGCCTACTTTGATGGCAATTTCATTGTGCTGCCATTGGTGTGGATGGTTTGTGACCCCCTCACTCTGTTTTGTCCAGAGCATCCTATGATTGCACTTATGTCAGGGCTTTGGCTACTAAATCTAGACAAATTCCTGCAGAGCCTGGAAAGGGCAGTGGGCTGTATGGGGAGAGCAGGGTAGGTTGTTTGGGTAGGAAATTGTACTTTCCGTTGAAAACAACATGAATGATGCTTCCTGTCTTCCCATTCCACTCCCTCAGCTCCAGTTTAGAGAAATTCTTGAAATTTTCCTACTCCCCTACAAAATCTGAAAGAGAATTTTAATAAGCAGTTTCTTGTGGAGAGCTAAGGGGAAAAATGAGGAATTTAGACACACCAGCAACACATAGGATTAGACTCTGGATACATGACAATGTTGTTCCATGTAGCTCTTTAAAGATGTGCTTATGATTAGTCATAAAGCACCACAGTTCACAAAACCTTTTTAAAAATCAGTGAAATTGCCCACTGCTCTCTCACTCTGCAGCAGTGCATCACAGCTGCACTGCACACATTCACAGCGTTGCTGTCAGGGAATAGGGCTTTGCATGGCTTTGCTTGGAAAGGCTGCCCTGGGAACTGGGACACCTGGGAAAATCAGATCTTGAGAAAATTTGTGTGCAGATAATCCCTGTAATTCACTGAGGTCAAAGTTAGCAGGACTTTAATTTGTCTGAGATTGAACCTCAAGCCCCTGGGGGCACATGCCTTTAGCAGCTATACTTCCTGATTGTGGAACTCATTTCCTATTTCTGTCTGAAACCTAAACAGATTGAAAAGGTCAGAGTTGAGCTAAAGACAAATATTTCCTGCTACTTTTGATGGCAAATTGCTGTGACTCTTGCATGAGGACAAAGATGCTAATGCACAGGGTAAGGTTTAATGTCTGGCTGTTTTGTACCACATCAGTGTCACAAACCCACCACAGCTTGAGTTTAAGTGGTCAGTTGGTGTTTCAGTTGGTGCATGTTGTTGGCATCAGGAGTCAGACCCTGGTGACAGATCTGGTTCTACAAGTAGTATTTCTGTTGCAGAGATTTTATGACATGGTTAATTGTTACTTTGAGAACTTTTTGGAGTTCTCAAGTCCATGAGTTGTTGAGAGCTTTTGGGACGGCTATGTCCACATTCACATTAAAAAAAATGTTTTGTTTGGGTATCAGGTGATTTTATCACTAAATTCTTGTTCATCAAGATATACTGAGAAAGAGGGAATGATTACTCCTATTGTCCAAAAGCACTACATAAGGATTGCAATTAATAAGTCTATTTCCCCCCCACCTTTTTAAGCACAAACCAGACTTGCAGGGTGTAAATAAGTTCAATTGGAAGGGAGGAAGAAGGGAAATAAAGAAAATAGGAGGACGTCCAGGGGAAGAGTGAAAATGTATATGCAAGAAATTGTCAGAGCACCAGGAAAGAGTTTCTCCCTTATGCTGTGCTGAGCCCCTGCGGTGCACAGGGATGCTTTACAACACTCTCTGAATGCCATCCCTGCTGGGGAGACACAGCACTACAGTCCTGAGAGACATGGGCCTCTTGAAGGCAATTGTCACCCCAGATCTTTTCCAAAGGGTGTAGCAGAGAGCTCTCTATCTTCAGTTAAAAACCCACTACTTATGAAAGGCTTCATGGGAGCTTTTTGTGTATTCCAAACTGGTGAGGCCTTGCTTTGACTTCTGCTAATACAATGTATTTTAAGTGTTACGCCTAGGTGTTAATTCTTGACTGTCTAGAAATGTCTCCCGAATAAACATCTAAGATGAAGAACCCTTCTCTTTTTAGTCCTTGCCCTGATGATCCTCAAGAAACAATAGATTTAATTGAAAAAATTCTTTACTTTAAACTTTTGGCTTTTTAATGAGATTTAATACAATGCATCTTTTTGGGATTAAAAGCAGACAACACTCATGCCTACCACTTCCTGTGAGAGATTTCTTACGTGAAAGAAAATTACTGTCTTGCTTACCTCTACCACATATCCAAGTCCATTGAGGCCTGTACACAGTTCTGCGGTGGTAGTGCTGTTGCATGGATTGGTCACTAGATGATACCCTTATGCTGTATTTAATATTTCTCTGATTTCATATTGGTAACGTTTAGGCAACATTCTGCAGTAGTAGTAGGTTGTAGATCTCATGAGTTAGGTACAACAGAGTGAACATATGGTGCCATATGTGATCCTAGTTTGCAGCTGCTAAGTTTAACTAATATGAAGCAAACCCCAAGATTTATTTTCTCTGCTGCAGTTATAATAATAAAGTGACAGTAGGCACTGGCAACAAGAGGAAAGTGGCTAGCAGGATTGAGTCTTTGAAATTTATTTTTCTTGACAAATTATAGTTTATTGTAGGAAGTGGTTTCTTCCTTTTGAGGTTTTCTTTTAAGGTTATTGTTATTGCAGGATAGTTGAGAGGAGAGAGCAAAATCCAGTATGTCAGTGCAAGTGGAGGAATATTGTGAATTCAGAGCTCTCTTTATTCAAATGTTGTTACTGTAGTGTCTGTGTTGGGAGATAATGTATATTAAGAGGGGCAAGAACAGCTTGTACCGTCTCTTGTTTTTTAAAACTGTCAAAAAGAATTCTTCAGCAATGCCCCCCATTTTGTCTTGCCCCCCTTATAAACAGCGGCTTCAAATTTTTATACCCAGTCCAAGAAGTAGCTCAGGAAACCGGTGTGGTTTTGTTTAGATTTTGATCCTCCTGTCTGTTCATGGCCGGGTTTAGATTAATTTTAGTATTAGAGTCAAATCCTTTAGAATTGCTATGGGAATTGTTGGATTTTGTTTCTTTTCTGGGATGAAGCACTGTTATTTGGGGTTGGTAAATGGATGTTTGCAATCTAAGCATTAATGCAGCTTGAAACTAGTGGTGTCCTGCAGCTGTCATGGCCATGATGGTATTCCTCTATTTGGAACTACTAGAAACCTCAAATGGGATTTATTTGACCAAATGTAAACATTTACATCTAAGTTAGTAGCCTAAGGCTCTTTTTACAGTCAGAGGAAGTCTAGACAATATGGTCAGTGTAGTCTGTGGTGCAGTTCTTCCCATCTCAAACATGTAAATAGGTCAGATGGATTGTGACCCAGAAATACTTGTTCCTTTCCAGGCACCGAATCTTGACCTCAAGTCAAGTAAGTGCCAGTCCATCAAGAGGAATTAGTTTTGGTGCTTTGGTTTAACTTTTTTCATTTAGATTGTTTTTACACTAATCACATTTCTTTGCAGTCACTTAGTGGGAGGGTGATGAGGTATTTCTTTAAGAGGGCAGCCTATATTCATGCTTTCCCTGCAACATTTTGCAGTTCCAAAACTCCAAAGGCTTCTGGGAGAAACTCAGCTCAAACTTGGAGAGTGTGAAGTACGCGGAGCCACACTTGCACTACCAGAGTAAGGTGCTGAGGAGGGAATGGCGTAACCTTTCAGAAGAGGTGAGTGAGAGGCATTGGAGCTGAGACTGGAACACTCCAGAGCTGCCTCTGAAATGGGTGTTTTAAAGTCAAGCATGGACAAGTTGGCTTTTTTATTTTGTAAATAAATAAATGGGAATCTGATTATCAGAAATGTAAAGACTTTTGCAGTCATTTCACCTAAGGTGATTGCCTGTAAGTTTTGTTTTCTTAAAATAATGCGAGAAATTAAAGAAAAGCGGAGCTTGCTCTGTATGTCACAAGGTTTACATGTGTGTGAGAGCACAGGCACTTGGAAGATGGTGTGAAGCCCCACTGTGTTTTATTTCCATTCAAAGAGAAAACCAAATTAATTTCTGATCTTCATTCTGTCAGGGAGTATTTTATTTGGTCTTCTATTTTGTTCATTTTGGGATTTTTGTTTGTTTTCCAAACCAGAGAGAGGAGAGAAGAACCACAGCATATTTGAGGAATATTTTTGAAAATGCCAAAAAGTACGTACTGGTTTGTATTATATTTACCCCTTCTTATTTTGCACAAATATGTTGGAGGAATTTATGTGCCATTTAATTAGTTGTTTAGGTATCTGATTAAAAGATACCTTCTCATCTTTAAAGAACATTATCCTGATGAAAATCAGTTATTGGAATCCTTGTAATCACTACAGCATGATCTGAAATACAGGCCTCTAGAGCTAGGGAATTTATGGTAGATGTGAAGTCATTCTCATGCACCTAGACAGATAGAATTTTTTTAATTCTGTGTAGTATTTTTACTACATGTAGTCACATGTACTGTTCTCAGATGTCTTTAGCCATCTTTGAAAGATCAAAGGCTCATTTGAGTTTTTAATGATGTTATGAAAGCCTTTAGAGTATTGCATATGAAACACACTCATTTTGGTTTCAAACCCCAGGGTGCTTTCTCATCTGGACACTTGGGACTCTGGTAAGTGAAACCTTTCTTGATGTAGGCCTTAGCTGTAAGAATTAGATTTATTACAATATTTCCATCCAGCTGTTGTTTGCTAAAAATCAGTTGCTATGTGTGTTTTCAGCACAGAAGAGTTTGAGAATTTAAGATGAGAAGAAAACTTTCATGAACTGACTAGGAAATGTTGACAATAAAGTCCCTAGTTCATATTGGATCTAACAACATAAGCAGTAAAATGTGGTCTGCTAAAAGATATCTTCTTCAGGATTTTTCTTGTGGAGCACAGTATCAATGAGATCATGTTACTGTTGAGTCTTGTCCACTTGTAGCTGCCTTTGCAACATCAGAACTTGTGCAGGAGATCAGGGCTGGTGAAAAACCATGGTGTAGGGAGAGCAGGTGTAATGAATTTCCTTAGGCCAGAAACACTTGAGATTTTTTGATGCTCAGTTCCTCTGTCACAAATAAGTAAAACTGAATTTAGGGGTGTATTATGTTCCTGCTGCTCACACATCAGTGCTTTCCTTCTGTGTGCCCTGCCACTGTGTGCTGTGACATGATGCTCATGTAAGTGCTGCTTGGTCCTTTTATTACCAAGAATTTTCAGTGTGCTCGTTTCCAGCCCCTGACAGCAGTCATCTGTGTCACTGCTACTTATTGCAATGGGCTCTGACTTTGAGAGACTTTGTATCAACCTTGTGAATCTCAGCTTCATGTTCTCAAAGGTGCTAATTGACAAAGAAGTCAGATGTTTAATGTTACTAGATAATTTCTAAATAGCTGCCATCCAGTAATAAGTGCCTATGTTGTGTTTCCCTGTAGATTTGAGTTCTTTAAAATCAAGCAGCACAGGTCTTTGTGCTGCTAAGTGGTGGTGTAATTATAATTAAAGGTGAGCAAAAACAGGTGAAAATTTTGAAAGAGTTCAGAACTTGGTTCCATAAAATCTTGTGTCAGTTTTATCTGTATCATGAAATAGATGATTGGCTTTCTTCCTTTGTTTTAGTAGACAGGACACACTGATTAGGAAATACAGGTTATTAATTTCAGCAGACACTGTAATCTCCTTCCATTTAGTTAGAGAAGTTGTGTTCTTTTCATAGTGGTCTGCAAATCTGAGTAACAGAAGCATCAGATCATGGGAGAGAATCAGTGGGAGGTGATTCCCTGAACTATTTACTTTCTGTCTAGCCATTTTCTTGGAAAACCCATGCAGCTGCTAGAGTTTGTTTGTTTGTAAATGACAAGGTCTAAGTAGCACATTAGTGCTGGTGTTACCAGAAGGTTCTCTCTGCCTCTTTGCTCTCTTGGGTCAGCACACTGTGCTGACAGCACAGCACTCTTACTTAAATATCAAAGAGAAGAAGAAGTGGATGGCAGGCAAAGGATTATTTTCCATTTTTCAGTTCTCTTATCCAGTCCATGGTTCTTCAGTGTCTTAGTTCTGTAGCTGAGTAGGTCAAACCACAGCTTCTGTTTGCTCCTCTGCTCCTAAGTGCTTTTGAAGCTGGCTGAATTCTTGTGATATTTCTGTAGCGCCATGTCCTTGAATGATTGTTGCTCTGTTTGTTTCAGAGGCAAGGCTGGTACCTCTCTTTGAAGAGGAGGATTATCAGCAGCAGTTGCTCATGGGACTGGTATGTGCATTTGTCAGTGTGCACTAGAGGACGCACAGGCTCCACAGATGTGTGAGGAGTGACCTTCCCAGTTCCAGTGCTGAGTGGAAGCTCACTCAGGGTAGCTATGGGGCAAACATGGCATTTCCTAAGTTTTAGAATTCATCATCATGATATTATCTTAGCTGGTTATTGTGAGGCATAGGGGAAAAACAGGAATAGAAAGTTGATTTGTCAAAATGCTTTTTCCCAATATAACTTTGGCTGGAAACTGGGAGGCCATTTAGTCTGTCAGTTATTTTTGGACTACTTTATGCCTTTGAAAGATATATAAATGAATTCCTCCCCCTCCATTCTCTCATTTTGATGAACAGAGATCTTCTTGCTCCTCAATTTAACACCTTTTTTACTGTTTCTTTTTCCTTCTAGCTCACTTCTGAGACTGCTATCAGCATTCTGAGGTTCCTTCTTCCTTTTCACTGTTTTTGCCAGTGATCTCCCATCTATATGCTTCTGGGCAATAAATCCCGTCTCAAATTCCTACCTGTCCTCCCTCTGTCTTAATACATATATTGGCTTATCTCTTGTTCTCTTACTTTTAAAATAAACTAACTCTTCAGCATGCACTAGAAGGTCTCAACAGTGAAGACCAGATCAACACTGTCCTGTCTGTTCACATCTGAGGCAAATTTTCCTTCTTTGCAGTAGTCTCCCAGTTTCCAAGTTTTGCCTCTCATTCTCTGCAGATTCTCTACATTCCCTCCCTTCTGTTTATTCAGACAGATCCAAAAAGCAGGTCACTTTTTCTATGCCTTCCTGTCATACCTGTATTGCTGTCTTGACACACTGAGATTAGTCTACATATAACTTCCTTAAGACAGAGATTTTTATTTGCTCCAGTTTCACTCTGAGCTTCTTAGTGACTCTCAGAAAAGAGCCAGCATGGACTTGAGTTGCAGTCTGAAGCTGCATGAGGTCAGTGAATATTTCAGAAAGGAGAGAGTAGGGAGTGGCAGGGACTGTATGTTAACAAACACCCAACTTTAATGACTTCACAATTAATGTTTAACCTGAAATTGCTATTAATCACTCTGGTTCTCAGGTTCTTGGCAACTACCACAAATTGTACCTCTGCTAGTTTTCTCTATGACAAAATCTCTCAGGTTTATTTGTTTGTACTAAGTACTTATATTCTTAGAATTCAATGATATATTTAAATCCTTCTTTCATCCAGTTCCCTTGGTTTTGCACAGAGAGGTGTGAGAACTGTAAGCTTTTTCTTTTCAGTATCATGGAAAGTTCAACTTAGTATTCATTTTGCTGAATTTGCACCAAGTAACCATTTTGAATATTCACATCTGCTGATGATTTTAGGGAGATTATACAGCAGCTTGGGGTCTCACTCTGAACTGGAGTTTTGTAATGGGGAAATGTTTTGTTGAGTGCCTATTGATCAGGTCCTGCATCTGCTGCAGCTTTTGTGTTTCTTTGAAGATGCCCAACATCAACAAATTGTTGAATTTTTTTCTAGATGGTTGCTCAGCTGAAGGATCACCTTATGAGACATCTACAATATGTTGGAAAAAAGAAGATTGACCAAATAGTTTTGGATTATGTTGCAAACCTGGTTAGTTTGATTTCATAGTCACTATTGTGAGCAAGTATGTATTTGTTGGAGTGTAGGTCCTTGTGTGTGTACCAGTTGTATGTAGCATATATTTGGTGGGAAGAAATTGTTTTTAAGATATTTAAATATATTTTTCAGCCTAATATTGTATAAATGGATAAAGAAAATTAATATTATTTAAATATTATTTAAAAAGTTGTACCAGTCACTCAGAATACAGAAGAAATGGTTCCATTTACAGCTTGTGCAAATATAGTCTACTCCCAGAAATAAAATGAGAACTCATCCCGAAAGTTTAAAGCTGTTAGATCCATTTGATTTTGTGTAGAACACATTGCTGCAGGTCTTGAATAATGAAAGTGCCACCAAGGGAAATAAAAAATGAACAAAAAAAGATGTCACTACAATCTGACATGTGAGTAAATCACTACCACTCCTACACAGTGCCTTCAGTGGGCTGTGTGTGTTACAGGAGACAGTTTTGCATGAAGAAATCTTCGTAAACTACTGTGAAAATTTGCTTTCCAAACTCTTATTTTTCTGTCTTTCCTCCTCTTGAGACCTTTAAAAAAAAAGCCACAAAAACCATAGCTTGTGCACAGAATTTATCTACTTGGTTTTGTCTGTCTCAAGATCATGTCCTTTAAGTGCAGAATGCAGAGTTCTCAAAAGCATGCATGGCAACTGTAAATCCTGTTCTTTGTGCCAGTGTTCAGTAGAAGCTCCCCACAGCGCTGTTTTCTAGGGATGAAAACCTTGGGAAGCTTCCTTGAGGCTACTGATGCCTGCATCTCCTCCAAAGTCCTGTGTGAGTCAGTCACTCTGTCAATGTCACAGTGTTCTCTGAACCCCTGCAGCCCCACTGCAGTTCCTGACTTTTCAGGCCTCACTTTGACAACTTCACAAGTTGTTTCACTGGTAATTGGCAGACTTTTATGTATCTGTGTAGGAAAGAAACTGAAACTAGTGGTTGATTAAAATGGGAACAGTACAACATGAACCAAAGCTCTGTACCTGAAAATGGTGCTGAAAAAAGCCCAAGTGGAACATTTATTCTCCTTTTATTCAACTTCTAATAACAATTTGTTTTTGTTCACTTTTAGTAAAAAGTAAGATAAAAAATGTGAAAACATCTATTCAACCTTGATCTGCAAGGCTAAATTATTGTAGACTAAATCTTGCAAAATAAATCTCAGCCCTCCCCACAAGCGAACTCTCAGGCCTAATTCTCTCAACTCAATTGACAGGCTTATTCTTAGAAAAGCTACTATAAATGAAGATAACGTCCCTCTAAAAGTTGCTTCTGCTTTCTGCTGGTGCATCTTAGGCACTGTTTGGAAATCTTTAGAAATTATTTCATTTTTAACCTTATGTTTCCTCTCATCCTAATTAGAAACTCTTACATCTCAAACCTTTCCATATCCTGAATGTTTCGGAGTTCTTCAGGGGAATGTACTGGTTTGAGCCTTCCTGCATTTCTTTTGTAGCATCAGCAGTGAGTAGCAGAGCTATTGAAACTAATGAAACAAGAAGAGACTTGAAGTTTGTCTGTTTACTTTCATAAAATATTTTGCATGACATTCAGGAGCCCAGGAGTGGCTGAGATTAGACTCTGTGGTGTGTAGTCACTGTGTAAATCAGTTGCAGAAGAAGTCAGAGAAGCCAAAACTTAGGAGCACTGAGAGTTTCTTACAAAACAACAGGCAAAGGCTGGTTGCTGTCAGAGAACTGGTGTGTTCCTGTATACAGAGAAGTAAAGTGGGGAAGTGTGAATGACACACCTCAGTGGGAATTCTGTTTGCTGAGGAGCTCCGCAGAGCTGGAGTGTGCCTGGTTCCCAGTCCATGTGCCACCTTTCCTGCTGTGGTTATTGTATGTCCATAGGCTCTCTCTCCTCTGCAATCACTTTACCTTGGCTTTGCTCCATATCTGTTTCTCTCACTCTTTTCATTTCAGTGAGGCAGGAAAGGGGAGAAATAACTTACAGAAGCAGAGTGACATTTGCTGCCCTGACAGCAAGTGGAAGGGGAGGCAGGGTGGGCAGGCAGTCTGTGGCACAGGAAACAGGCAGACCTGAATAAACTGCTGAAATTTCTCTGCAAGTCGCTGCAGTAGCTGCACATTTTCCCCTGATGTCTGTAGGCTCAGCTGCAGAGGAACAGAAGACAGACACCATTTGGATTTGAGTTTCCTCAGGAGGAGGAAGACTATATCATACTGCACAGGAGGGGATCTGAAAGACAGCAAGACCTTGTCTCACTTCCTTTTCTCCTTTGCTCCTGATTCTTTTCTTTGACTTTCTTTGGCTTTGAAGTCTTTCCTGTAGAAACAGCCAAGGGAGCTGAGCACTTGTGGTTCCCAATTACTTTAGGGGAACTTCAGTTTCCTTGGCACCATTGCCTGGAACTGTAGATGTTTCAAGACAAGGTGACAGCACTGTCAGCCAAGGCCTTCCTGCATGTGCTGCCTTGCTGCTGGTCATGTGTGCTCTTGTTAGTTTAGAGCACTTCAAGAGAAATGGCTTCATGTATGTGCCCCAAAAAACTTCTTATTTTGTGTCTGTTATTCAGGGGAAAATGGCCCCCCTGCTATGAGTGTAGCTCTTAACTTGGCTGCCCCAGACACCCACTGCTAACCTCAGACAGGAAGCTGCCTGTACTACTTCCATCAGACAGATAATGCTGCCTTTCTCTCATGCACATTATCTTGTGTGATTTTTCTGAAAAAAAAGATTGAGATTTGGGTTATCTTTCTGTATGTATTTTCTACAATGCCAAGAGTAGATGTTGATCTCCAAAGTGAGTTCTGCTGTTAGTGAAGGTGTCACATCACAAACATTCATGTATTTAAGATGCAAGTATGTTGTGATAGCTTGGATGATTATTACTTAAGTTGTTCTGTGCCCTGTGAAAGCTGTACAGTTTGCTGTGTTGTTAAGTGAAAAATGCTTATTCTGGAGTAGCACACTCTTGAAAACCATTTGTGTTGCACAAATAATAATTGGTGATTTTCAAGCTTGTAAGAACCTTCACTTCATCACTGATCCTTCAGATCCAGCTGCAGCTCCTGATGCAGAGGCCTTAGCTGCACTCTCTGTGCTGGCCAGAGCTGAAATTCATTCCAGCAGCAGGTGTGGTTCTTGTGACCCTTCTGTGGAAACTGGAAATCACTCATTTCCTAGAAAACTTGCTAGACTCCAGAAAGATTAAATTGGATCTTTCCATTGCACCTAGAAAGTGTGGAGATGGCAACTGTTAGGTGATTATTTTGCATCAGGCAGCTGTGCAAGCCTGGCTCAAGTCGTGGTGGATGGGAAAGGTGCTGCCTTGTAGAGCTTTCTGGCCAAGGTACAGAGGAACACTCGGGAACATTACTGAAGGTGAATATTGCAGTTCTGGCCTTTGCATGCAGATCTCTCCTGTGTGCCTGTTTCTCTCTTGCTCAGAGTCTGTAATGAGTCAGACAATGGAGAGGGCAAAGCCTATGAGGTGGAAAGAGAGTGGAGAAAAAGCATTCCTGGATTCTGACCATCTGGAGGGAGGAAAAGTGTTCCTAACTTCTTGTGACACCTCTTTGCAGAACAGGGGCCAGACTGGTTTCCTGAGTTTCCTGGGATTGATTGATTGCTGTGCTTTGAGGGCCAGAGATAAAAGGCACAGAGGAAGTGTCTCAGTTGTGTTACTGAGATGTGGAACTGGTTACACATGACAACCATGAGGAAGTTATTTCAGCTCTTCCATGTGTGGTTTCTCTTTCAGCTGCAGAAGCTGAGGAGGCCCAAGTGAGAACAGGGCTTGTGGCTTTGGTATGTGCTGACTGTGTGTGGTGGACGTCAGTTTGGGAGCACGGAGAGCAACAACATGGGCCAAGGGATTGTTTCACTTCACTGGGGACAAAAAGGAAACTCAGTAGATGAGGAGAGGCATTTGTTTGTCTCATTTTTCCTCCTTTCCAGGACTAGATCTGTGATTCCTCCTGCATACTTTTCTTGGCAAACTAAACATTCCACTGTCTTCAACATTATCTGCTTTTGCTGAGCCCTTGGGACGGTTCCTTGCCAAATGCTCAGCCACTTGGACATGCTGTTTTTGCTTTCATGGCAAGCAGATCTTGGAGAATTTGCTGCAAGAGCCTGAGATCAGTTATCTCCAAGAAGCACAGTGTGTTAAGTTGCTGTATGTCTTGCATGATGCTTTCATAAGCTGGAAGCACTTTAAACAGCTGGAATAGGGAAATTTGTTACAATTCAAATTTTAATAACTTACATTTTAAGGGCCTAGAGAAAAAAATTGAAGACTTAGTAGGAGTTCCCTGAGAAGTTTTTAACATAAACTGGTGTGTGGAATGAATGAAGGCCAAGAGCCTGCTGTACACAAGCTCCTGGAAACATCCAGTCTTCTCTTTTTTGTTTTAGCTGAATCTGGTGCACCGAATAATGAAAGAAGTTTGGAGGAGATACCAGCTTCATTCCTGTATCTTCTGCTTGTGAGCAAGTGATTTGTTAAAGTTTTCATCCTGCCTTTTCAAATATGGACGTAATTATTTTGGTCTTCATCAGTAGTACTCTCCGAACAGTCAGTGCTTCTGCTGCTGTCAGTGTCAATGTTACTGGCACTAACTCTTCCTGAGGATCCTGCTGGCCCTCTCTAGGCCAGTGTGAATATTAACCACACAGGCAGTCTTATAGCTGGAGCTCAAACTTGCTGAGTTTGCAGTGGTCCTAAGCTGGGTGGGGGGTGTTAAACATCTATAAAAGCCAGGTCACTCACACCAGCACCATTTTACCTGTAGCTGCTGATTCCAGGTACTGCTGAGAGCCTTGTAAATGTGCATCAGTGTGGGAAGGAGATGGGGACACCACAGAGACTTTGTGTGTCTGCAGCACTGGGCAGCTGGTGCTGGCTGAGACACCTCAGTAAACAAAGCATCATCCCATGGCCCTGCATCCCAAAGGCAGGCATTCAGTGCACTCCCAGCGTGCCAAATTGACCCTCTCTCCAGGAGAGAGTGGGTGCCCCGGGTTCTTAATGTGTTGCTACTTTGTTAACTCAGTGATGAGAGAGGAAGTGCAGGAGAGTTCGCGGTGTTCCACATCATGAGTCGGATTCTGGAAGCAGCAAATGGCATGTGCATGCCTTTACCTCCTGGTAAGTTCTGTGTTTTGCTGTTTTAATCTTGAGTGAGGAGAGCAGTGCTGTAAATTGCTCCCAGCACAGCACTGGTTGCAGCACATGTGTCAAGTTAGCTTTGGCACTATTGACAGCTATTCATGTTAAGTTATAGAGGGGAAGGCTCTTGATAAACCTGTACAAGTGAAATGAAACAAAACTAAATCGTTACTAGAAACAGAGAAAACTAAACAGAGGTTTCCAATGGAATGTGTGGGTGTGGTCTTATCTTAGAATTAAGATTTAGACTCACATATATATATATTTGGACAACTGGACTTCAGTGTCAAGAGCCACAAGGGAAAATCCTATCCTGTAGAAGACAGAGTGTTTTTTCTCATGATCTTGCCTTGCTAATAATTTTCAATTTTTTCCTGAAGGGATTACTTCCGGCCTTGATGGAAAAGCTGGTCTTGATAGTAGATTTTCATTTCCTAGAGCTCCTCATAATTCTTTACAGCATTTTCAAAGCACTTGCTTATTTTCATTAGGGAAAGGCATTTTGACATCTTAATATCTTAATGCTTGCCAATTCTGTTTGAATCTTTCTGGGTTTTATTTCCTGATCTGTCTTCAGTCATTGCAACGCCTTTTGGTATGAGTTTGTCCCTCAGTCTGTGTGGGCACAAATGCTGCCACACAGTAGTGTTACATAATAACAAGACCATCACCATGCTGATGTCAAAGGAAAGCTGAAGTATTAATGCTGCCCATGGGAGTGTCTTTGTGGCAACAACATCCTGAGGGTGGTGAGGCCTCGGATTTTGATTAATTAAGAAGAGAGAGGGAGATAAAAGAAAAATTAAAGAACAATTCAGATACAAGGCAACAGCTTAGAGACATTTAGGCACAGTGTATGACTATAATGACTGTTTGCAATCTCCTCAGCTTTCTTCTTTCTGACAAAATGCTACTTGAGAGGACTTAAAGGATGTCTAAATAAGAATACCTGACTTGATAAATTGATTTCCTCACCAACTATAAACAATCAGAAGTCAAGGGAAGTGTTGGCTTTAGCTAGAGTAATTCCAGTTTTGAACAGGGAATTAGAAAAAACTACATATTGTACCAAACAAGTTTGTCTCTTTCATAGGTTTTCACACTCTGCACCTGGGTCTTGGTGTTCGATGTCTCCCTCTGCACACTCTCCTGCACTATATTGACAGTGGCATCTTGCAACTGACAGAAACGTGTGTCAGGAAATTGCTGAAAGGTACAGTGAACAGGGTGTTTCATTTGTTCCCAGCCAGCTAACTGGGAGTATTGTCCTCTGAGCCACTCCCCTTGGACACAGGTTTTATTGCCCAGGACACTCAGCTCTCTTTACGAGTGTTGTTTCAGTGAGGGCTGTAGCTGATGGTGTTGCCTACCTGAAAGGAGAAAGTTAGGGCTCAGGCTATGTGATTGGCCTTACCACAGCACACAAAGAAATATCTCTGTGGAGAGAATTTGTGTTTGTAGCTTTTCCACTTGAGACTTCTTAGAAAAACAAATACTAAAGATCATCATAGGATTTGTTGGAGAATTTCTGTGACTGTGAATGCGCACACCTGTGTGTAAGGAAGTTGGTCTGCTGTCCAGCCCTCAGCTTTTGCTTTTTGTCTGGAAAGAAAAGAACAGGCCTATCAAGCTGACCTCATGGCTGGGGAAGCTGATGGAGCAGATCATCTTGAGTGCCATCACGCGGCACGTGCAGGACAACCAGGGATCAGACCCAGCCAGCATGGGTTTGTGAAAGGCAGGTCCTGCTTGATCAGCCTGAGCTCCTTCTGTCACCGAGTGACCCACACAGGGGTGAGGGAAAGGCTCTGGGTGTTGTCTACCTGGACTTTACTGAAGCCTTTGACACCATTTCCCACAGCATTCTCCTGGAGAAACTGACTGATTGTGGCCTGGATGGGAGCACTGTTCACTGGGGATAAAACTGGCTGGGCAGCTGGGCCCAGAGAGTGGTGGGGAATGGAGTTACATCCAGCTGGTGGCTGGTCCCCAGTGGGGTTCCAGAACTCAGTATTGGGCCCAGTCCTGTTTAATGTCTCTATCAATGATCTGGACAAGGGGATCAAGCACTTCCTCAGCCATTTTGCAGATGACACCAAGTTGGGTGGGAGGGCTCTGCAGACACACATGAACAGGCTGGGCTGTTTGATGGCTGATTGATGGGCTGAGGTCAGTTGTGTGAGGTTCAACAAGGCCAAGTGCTGGGTCCTGCCCTTGGTCACAATAACCCCACACAGCATCACAGGGCAGAGAGGCTGCAAACCTGCCCAGAGGTGCTGGTCAGTGGTGGCTGAACATGAGCCAGCTGTGCCCAGTGATGTGCTACTTCTCCAGTGTCCAAGAAAAGGGACAACAAAATATGCTGTATCAATCTGTGCCTGATCCTGATAAATAAAATATTATAAACTTGGAGAGTTGCACTTAGTCAAAGTGCATTTGAATTACAGTATAAATTGTTATGTAAAATGGTGAAGTTCTGGACAAATATACAGAAATATATGTGTACACATGCTAAACATGTAAATAATAGTCTTTAAATTGAAATTTTAATTTCACTAAGGAGGTGATGTTTATTCAGTATGTCTTCAGTGAAAGTTGAAGGTTTGTTATGTGATTACTGTTTGTTTGATTTGCTTTTTTCCCTGTTGCTTATAGATCTGGATGACACTGAACAGAATGAAAAGCTGAAGTTTAGTATTGTCATGAGGCTTCCAGAGGTAACTAATGGCTTTAGATGTAATTTCTTGGATTTTGAAATTGATGAGAAATTCCTCCTTGTGCATAGGGTCAAACCAGTGAAAGACTTGGCTGTGGTTCAAATAGAGCCTGATTCAAATGTAACCAGAATATTCACAGTTTCTCCATCTGCTGCTCCTGGACTGTAGGTTACCGTAATAGCTTAAATTACAGATTTGTCTGTAGTATTTTGCAGATCTCCCCTCAGTTAAACCTCACAGTCTCACCCACTGACAAAGTGACTTGTGTAGCCACAGGAGCTGGTTACTGATCCTCCATAAATTGTTCTAGCAGGATGGGAGATGCATTTCTCCTTCCCCCGTTTTGCTCTTAGTGCACAGCACAGGACTGCAGGGGAAGCACAAGTTGTCAAGAAGCAGAGGAACACCAGGGATCCCCTTCAGGGAATGCCTCACTGCAGAACAGGCTTTTTTCCATATGACTTGCCCATTGTTTGCTCATTGTGTGCTGTCACTTATAGTTCAAATGGCCAGAAGTGCTACTTGGGTTTTCCTCCAACAAAGGCTTCTTTATTTGGCAGCAGTTTTGAGAAGGGGTAGAGGAGGAGAACTCCACAGGATGTTCTTTGTCCTCTGTCTTGTTTTGGGCCAGGGCTGGGCAGCTGGGGTCAGCATGGGGCCCTGAGTTGCCAGCCCTGGGCCTGGTGCGTGGGGAACTCCATTCCAACCACGCTCTGACGTGAAGGGCTGAGCTGGGAGAGACTTAGGGAACAACTACTGCTAGCTATGCACACTAGACTCAGTGCTTTATTGTATCTATTTTCAGCTTTGGGAAAAAATGCTGGGAATAGTCTGTTTGCCAGAAAGGTCACTTTGGGGTGATTCGGACTATTTTGAGCAGGTTACATGCAGTGGATGACTTCAGTTTAATCAGAAGCAAGGATTTAAGCACCATTAAACCGTACAGCATTTACTAAAATGAACAGCTGTCTGCATTGCAGTACAGCTGAAGGGGAGGGGCAAGGAAAGGCTACACAGGGAAAATAGCAGAAGGTGGAGCTAATTTCACAGTGTGTTCCTGTTCTTTTGCTTATTGGTTGGGATTAGAAGCTTTGGGAAACCTGGTTTTGAATTTCTTTTGGCTCTGGGAATGTGAGTCAATGTTATCGGTTTCCAGGATGATGTCCTGAATAATGGGATCCAAACTTACATTCCCAGTATCTTTCCTTGCCAGTGTTCTGCTTGCCTAAGATTCCTTAAGACTGAGCCTGAGAAGCCCTGTCCTGAAGGAGCTTTGGTGAATGGGGCATCTACTTTATTATTTGGGGGAAGAATAGATTCAAATCAATCACAGTAAAGGATAAAGGTTCAATTAGTACTTAAGTGCACATCACATGGGACAGTGGCACTGGGACAGACCAGCTGAGGTGAGAACTGAGCAGTGAGGTTTTGATTTCCCACATTTTGAGAGCTCTGAAAGGAAGGCTCCATGGCTAAACATGATGACCTCTTAGCCTCTGTCCTTGGGGTCTGAAAGCAAAGCACATCTGCATTACAGCCTGGATTTTATGTCAGCTTTTCATCCCTTTTCCTGTTCCTAAGTTTCTGCTGTCCCATTCTATGTTCTCAGGTTTTGGCGTTTGTTTTTTGCTTACTAGGCTCTTGGTCAAAAGGTCCACCAGTACTGGAATCATCCCATAAATGCAAATTTAATAGCAAGGAAATACGTGAAACTTTTGCTCGAGAAGCTGGGAAACAGGCAGGTAAGAGCACAGAGGCTGTTTTAAAATCTTATGTTCTCCCTTTTCCTCTTTCTAAGTTTCCACTGTCCTATGTCTATGTTCTCAGGTTTTGGTGTTTGCTTTTTGCTTACTAGGCTCTTGGTCAAAAGGTCCACCAGTACTGGAATCATCCCATAAATGCAAATTTAATAGCAAGGAAATACGTGAAACTTTTGCTCGAGAAGCTGGGAAACAGGCAGGTAAGAGCACAGAGGCTGTTTTAAAATCTTATGTTTTGACAGTGTTGAGATTCCTGAGCTTTCTGTGGACTGTAACACACTAAAGAAACATTGAAGCCTTGGTGCATCTGTGTGACTTGGTGAAGTAACACAGAATGTTCTCCCTTGCAGGGCAGCAGGCCTATTCCTGAGAGACTCTCTGTCCCCGTGGAGTTTTTGCCACTGAACTACCTGACTGATATGCTGGCAGAGATAGAGAATCAAGGTAGTGTTAATTCTGTACTTTGAAAGATCAGTGATTGTTACCCTTTGATGCTCACTCAGTATCCTGTATACTGACATACTGAGTTATTAACACTCCAGTGTTGTTGAACAGATAGGTTTGGTGATCTTTCTGCTGATGGAAAATGTCAGGGGCCAAGAGCCTCCATGTATGGGTATCATCCTATCTGGGGAGGAAAAAGAGTTAAACCATGTAGCAGCATATGAGCATGTGCCCTGGGCCAGTTCATGGACTAGCACTGACACAGCCACTCTGCTTCAAGCTGAGTTTGGATCTCCAGTTTGGAAGTCCAGCCTCCAGAGAGGCCTCACTCTCTGTGGGTTATAATTTCCTTACATCCCACTAATAAGATAGTTTTTGCCACAGATGGCCATGCAAAGGGCACCACTGAAAGCTGTAGGTATTTTTGGGTGCATGAAAACACATTTCTATTACCCCTTATCTTTTGGTATTGTAGATGAAGATGTTTCATAGACAGCAGGACTATAAGTGTACAGGAACATGTACAATTTTGTAAATACTTCCTCACCATGTTTTTCTAGGTGTGCATCCATATGAAAAACAAGACCATGTAAATGCAAGATTTGTAGAGGAAACAGCACTCAAGCACACTATGACACTTCTGGGTCTCAAATACTCCTGAAAGAACATGCTGTTGAAGAATAACACACTGTCAAACTGTGGTGCCTCTGTAAAAGTATTTATTTAAATGCAATGTTGTTTCCCAAATAACCTGCAGTTTTGGGTAGTCACCAGTACTGACATGAGCTACTAAAACAGTGTTTGGTCCAACAAACTGAGGGTGAAATAATTGACTTCTAGATAAATCCTAGAGAAATGCATTTGAGATAACCCTAGGTTTGAAATATATCTGTGGGTTCATTTTGAAGTGGTCAAGGAAGTGGAACAACAGTGTTAAAACATGCTGTGAAAATTGGTATAAATGTCACTTCTTTTAACAAGACAATGCTGGAAAAGGCAGCCCAGTTGCAGGGTTACAAGAACTAGTAACTGTTTACTTGAATTAATAAAAGGATTTCTTGGTGTGATTATGTAAAGCAGGTAAGAATAACAGATGACTTTTTATGTCATGCATGAGTAAAGAGACAGTCATTCCTTGTGGTGGTATCAGTTATCTTATGGTACTTCTGCTTCTGGAGCTGCATTTTAATATTTTCAGTTTTGTAATTAGCACAAAATATAATCTCCTTAAAGTGCATGTGACAGATTTTGTTGGGGATTTGTTTGTTTGAGTTTTTTTTGTTGTTTTTTGAAGATATGTATAATATATTGTAAGTAATATAGGATAAGAAAAAAGCTTTAGAAATTGATCTTAACAGTGGCATGGACAGAGTTTTACATAATCCTTTCTTACAACTTCTAGTGTTACAGTTCAAACTTCAGCTTCAGAAATAAATTAGGCAGGCTGTTTCTCCTTTGTTTTCACCTTCTGTTTGTATGTAACTGAACCAATATTGTTTGCTCTTTTAAGTTCTGAACTGTAACATTAATTTCAAATAGTAATAGCAATTTGCTACACAGAGAAAATTGCCAAGTTGTGCCATGCGGGATTTCTGCAGCCTTTATTGGATTTTTAAAAACTCAACAAAATTCCAGACTATTAAACTAGAGAAACTCATTAATAATTGATATATTTGGGAGGTTTTTGAAACAACCTCTGATACTCTCTCTGAGTGGGCTCCATTGATGCTCCCTGTTCCTTACCAGTGCAATAAAAAGATCCAGTTCCTGGGAGTGACTTGGCAAGTTCATGGTCACTCCTTTGTCATTGCCAGCAGTGAAGCTTTAGCTTTCTTAGTGACTGCATAGTGAGAAGAAATATTTTTCTTAATATAATTAGAATTTCTCTGGCAAGTGTAACTTCCAGTCCCAGACTGCAGAAAGCCATGCTGGTGTGTGGCTATAAGTGATGGCCACTTTGTATTATATAATAATAGGAGAAGATTTTCTAGCCTTTTCTTTTTAATGAATGTATTTTAACATACCTTCAGATACAATAAAACTTCACCTGGAAAAAAAAGTAAATACAGCATGAAGATGACTCACTTTTTTTGGCACTTGGAAATGCTGCACTGCATTTGGGATACCAGGAGAAAGGATTCTGGATCTCTGACCAGTTAGCTGTGCTTTTGGCATGAACAAATACTTCATTTTTGCATGAAATTTGGCTGGACACCAACAGATCTTCCTTCAGTGCAGTGCAAACACTGTTGACTCTTGTGATCCAGCAGCTGGTAATGGTCTCTCCTGCTTTGGGTGCTGTCTGTTCAGATTTCAGATGGCTTGTCAGGAGGCTTTTTGAAATGTCTTGGACTTGGATGGGGCTCACTTGGTCTGAAGGGAGCCACATGAGGCTGCAGCAGTGGGAGTCCCTCCTCCTCTTTGGGGATAGTGGGGTCATGGCTGGGCAGTGCAGCTTGTGTCTCCTCTGCAGGCTCCTGTCAGAGAAACACAGCTTGGTCACACAGGGGTTGTGTGCTTTAAAACTCCAGTGCCAGTGTACAGAGTCCATGACAAAGGTAACACCCTTAGTCTAATCCCTGGCATGCCAGGAAAGCTGCAGGGGTATTAAAAGGAAAGCATGAGGTTTGACCATGTAGATATGAGTTTGTCCTTTTAAATAGTAGACAGTTTGGGCCTGCTATGCTTTTGTTATTTGTCAAGAAAACAGATTAGATGAACTTTTAAAAGATGTAGTAATTATGCACTGAACATCTGTGGAAAAATTCTCTTCCTGAATACACTTACTAGAATGGGCCTTTACCCACAGCACTGAAAGAAAACCTGAGTCACAGCATGAGGAGAAGTTTCATGACAGAAGTTTCTTATTCCAAAATATTATTATTTAGGAGCTCTCTGCTCTGGGATCACTGACCATCTCAAGGACAGAGGCAGTGTCCAGCAGGGTAAGGTTTCAAGTGCTGTCTGCCATGCTGCCCTGCCTACCCTCAGTGTCTTGCTCAGCAATCTGATTTCTTGCTGTTTCTGATCTGATGCTCATTGTATCTTGTATGCAGGAGACATTAAACTTCTCCTGAACCCCACCTTCCACCTTTTGCAGCTTTACCTTGAAATCCAGTGAAATGCAGTATTCCACTGATGGCAGCCCTGCCCTTTGGCCACAATATGGTCACACAAACTACTTTAATAACCAAAGGTGAGGTTTTTAGTATTTTAGTATATGATCTCCCTAAGACCAGCTCCAAGTGGTGTTGCCAGACTAGAGTTAAAACTGCACAAACCCACTGTAGTGTGTTGTCAGTTGTCTTTCTGTACCATCATCTGCACTGGCTCCTGGAGCTCTTGCAATGTATGACAAAAACTTACTTTAGCTCTGGCTTCAGCTGCTGCTTTTTGTATCTTCTCATTGTCCAGGATCTCCCACTGGTCCTTTTCTGCTTTAGGAGGGGGAAGGCCTTGACTTATCATCAATGAAGCAGTCATAATAAATTGTTCTTTGTCTCTGATTTCCTGCCGGAGTTTAATGGCAAGTGCTTGCTTCATGGATAACTCTGCAAAAAGAGCCCTTATCTCCTGGGTTTTGTGATTTATCTTCCTCTGCAGATCGTTGGTCTGGAATGCAAAACAGCTGCATTGTAGTTAGGGCTTCCCTTTAGGCACTCACTGGGCATGACACCTGGGTCAGTATTAGGCACATGAAAATAATTCCACCTCGATAAGGTTTTAAATAGTAGTTAAATTCTTGAAAATTACTTAATTTTTGTGAGCACTTAGAACAAAAAAAAAAAAAAGGCTGCTCAAGGAGTCACATTTACTCCAGTACAAGAAAAGAAAATTTGTCTTTGCTTCTTGACCTTTTCAGCTGGACAGCAAAACTCCCCCAGTCCTCAAAGGCCTGGGATCCCAATTCTTTAGTTCTTTTTGAGTTTCTATACAATTAGCTTCATAATAAAGCTGGAATAAGCCCAATTCCTATGACACAATTGAATGATAATGCTGATGCAGGGGCTGTGGGTTGTGACATTATCCTTGGAAGGGGGACAAACAGAAAAGGAGTGTGACAGAAATCCTTGAGTCTTACTGCAGATGATTTGAATAAACAAACAAACTTTAATACTCCTTAAGTGACTAATTGGAACTGGGACAGCCAGAGCACTTGCAAATGCAACTTTTGGCACACAGCCATTCTTACAGTAGTTTATTAGCCCATGGCCATCATTTCACAAACACAGTTAACAACCATGATATTTCTGTTTGTGTTTAAAATAAATCATAAAAAACTGCTTTGAGCTTTCATGTGTGCCAAACCTAACATTTAAGAAAAATTGATACCCTGTCCTTGTTTTACATTAATTACTTAGCTTTTTTTTTCTGTCCTTCCCTCAGCTCTGCTCCATTTCCAGCTTTTTCAGTAGGAATATGGGGGCTAGGAGCATTTTTGGTCTTTCCCAAACAATAGTACTTGCAGTTAAAAGCAGATTGCTATAATTATATTTTTAAAACTGTATTAGAAGTAATGTTTCCTGTGTGATCCTCCCTTCCTAAACAACAAAAGAACTTTGAGCCAGATACCAAGTCCATCTTTTTGTACGTTGGAGTAGAATTTACCTGGCCTTCCTTTATTTCTTTTTTACCCTTATTTCTTCTTAGCCTTAGAGCTGTTTGTTGTGGAAAGACTGTTAAGTACATTTGCTAAAGGAAGATCCTACAAATTTTCTAAGCATCTACTTCAGAAAGAACTAATTCTATATTTTAGTGAAAGGTACCATTTATGGTGCAACATTGTTTTTAAAAGAGAGGACATTTGCCTAATAGTTTCAGTTTATCTGTATTACTGTTGCTATTCCTGTCTGTAATTTCTGAAGACTAACTTATGATTCACCTCTCAACATTTCCAGCCACTTTTGTAATTTGCAAGTGAATCACCTCTTGCCCAGATACTGTTTCATTTTGCACAGGCTGGCGTGCAGAGCCCTCCTTACCCTCCTGGCGAACAGCAGCATGTCCTGCTTGCCGCTCTCCACCACAGCGCGCATTCTGTCCGTCAGGTCGGAAACGTTCTCGCAGAGGAAATCTATCTTCAGCAGCCTCTGCTCCTTCTGCACCAGCTCTGCCTCTATCTGCAGCAAGAAGGAGGACACGGTGTAAGGAAAGGTGTTCTGTGATTGCCTTGAGCTGCTGAAATAATACTGGTGAACTAACATCTTCACTATCAGATTGCTCAAAATTTACACCTTCTCTGCCAAGGATCATGCCCAGATTGGTTCACTTGGTTGCTGTCAGTCGTACAATTCTTCCATATCAGGCCAGACCCTTTTGGGGGCAGGGGTTACACCATTGTTACTGCCTTGCTGTGCTTTTCTTGAAAGCAATGGGGCTTTTTTCTACTCATAATTTTTTTTTTAAATCTTCTGGTTCCTTGAGTTACACCATAATGGAAAGTTTCAGCTCTTGCTTTAAATACTTTTCCCCTCCTCATGCTAAAAAGAGTATGGGCTCCATTAACAAATTATAACCACAATGACTTTAAATCCCATGGAGCTGTGTTCAGGGTCTGGTATGGGCTCCATTAACAAATAACTACAATGACTTTAAATCCCATGGAGCTGTGTTCAGGGTCTGTCTTTACAAACTGGATTTCAAAAGCAGGACTCTGGGGTGTGCTCAGAGCTTGCTGCTCCTGCCCTCACACCTTCAGAGCCCTTTGCGAATCCCCTCCAAACATTGAACACAGTGGGAAGAGTTTTTTGCTTTATAACTGGGACAGACAGAAATGTATAAGAAAATGCTGTTCCTTTACCTTCCTGCCCCCACACAGAAGGCTCTGAAACTGGCTCTCCACTGGCCCTAATGCTTCCCTCTGGAGTCTTGGGACAGTCACCAGCAGTGCTGCAGTCAGGTGTCAGCTGCTGGCTGGCCTGGCTGCTGCTGCCACCAGGCTCCCTTTGGTGGCTCCTTTTTCAGCAGGGAAGCAAAGCAGTAGGGCCCAGCCCTAACAAGGGGCAGTGTTTGCTTCTGTGTCACACATGCAGGCTTTGTGAAGGGGCTGGCAGGTCTGCCTCCTGCTCACAGCCCGTGGATAGTGAGGAAACAGCTCATGGCCAGTTAGCAAAGACTGACAACCCTGTTTGTTAGCAGTTTATTATTCTGCATTTATCTCCCTCTGCTGCCTTTTCTGTGCCTTCCCCTCGTGAGGTGGGTCTGCACTGAAGTGCCAATGATGTGAAGGGAGTCAGCAGAGGATGCTGCACAGCCAGGGGTACCTCACAGAGCTCCCCCTCCCCAGCCTCTCCTGGATGAAGCCAAATGTCCCATGTTCAGTTGACCTGGAAAGCAGATGCTAGGCTGGAGTTCACAATGGCCAATCATAATTATTTTTATTCCTCTTACAGAAAGTTTATTTTAAAAATAAAAGACACTATGTACAATTTCTAAAAGAGATCAAGCGCAGCAGGATAGCTTGTGATAAGTGACATTACCTTTTCAATCCTTTTTAGCAGCTCGGGTGGAGATGGGTCCTTTCCTCCCATTTCTTGCTTTCTGCTCTCATTTGTGGCATCACCATAGTTTTCCTCCAGCCTTTTAATCTTGTCCCTGCACTGGGAATACTAGCAAACAAAGAGCCTCAACAGTTATTTCTTCCCATCAAACTCATCCCCAGACCTTGGTCTGGAGACTTAAACAGACAAGGATTAGCCATTTAAACGAGCCATTTAAAAGTTTTCTTTTAAAAGAGAACTACAGTGTGACAGTTGCAGGACAGAGCAAACCCTGCTGTTTGACAGAAATTGAGTTCTAGGTGTTTCTCGGTGCTCAGGCTACCTTTTGTTTTTTATCCTCAGGAATACAATAGAAAGCTCTGCTTCCCTGCTGGTCGGTACTGAGGGTCTCATCCCTGCAGACATCCAAGTTTTCCACACTAACATTCCCAGGCATGTGTCCTGAAGTGACTCAGTGGTGACACTGAGCAATGAGGTACCCTTGGGACTCACAGAGGCAGGTGTTCCCTGACCTTTCCCATGTGAGACCTTCCCATGGAATAATACTTCCCAGAACATGCTACAGGGACATCCAGGCTCAGTGTAAATTTTCACTGAATGAGCGGCTGGGGCTGTTTTTTCATGTTTGGACTTGCAAGACTGAGAGTGGTGGGGCTGTGTGCTCTGAAGTGCACCTGGCTGGCTGTCAGTGAGCTGTCTGTGCTGACATAAATACCCAAATGTTAACCATCCACTGCAGGTGATGACTGATTAAGGAAATAAGTGGTCCCCAGCTCTCAAAGGTGTGAACAGTCACCAAAATATAAAGTAAATGTTTAGATGTTGCCAGGATGAGGTTTCTCACTGGAAGTTAACAAGTCATATTTAACTAGAAAAGAGAAAGCTGACAGATATTCTCAGGTGGCAGTGGAACGTTACCGGAACACTTAAAAACTTATTTTCCTAGTAAAAAAAGCACCACACAACTCACTCCTATACACTTTGTCTAAAAGCAGCTGAAGTAAAAACCTTAGATGAGTGTAATGAAAAATTTCCTTGGCAAACCATGACTCTGAATGTAGCTAGGTACTGAAAGTTACATTTTGCTAACAAATAGCTAAAACTCAAGCCCAAAAATAGACAGAATGGAAGAATGTAAAAGCAGGGCCAGCACAAACAGCAGGATGCAGCAATGCTTCCAGTGATCTTTTCTGTCTGGGGCCAAATTTCTCAACCACTAACTCAGGGGAAAATGCCTTGTTGGAGGCAGTGGTATCTTAATGAGATTAGGGGCAGCTCACCAAAGAGAATTTTGCAGTACTGAATAGTTAATTTAGAGAAGGACTATTGCAGCAAAACCACAGTCCAAAAACCATTAAAAACTTTCATGTTAAATGTAAATACTAGCAACATGAATTGGAAGTGATCAGTTGCAAGCCAATCCAAAAGCATCAAAGTGCATTTAGACATTACCATGCTATTCTGTGTCTGCTTAAGTAACATGACTACAGGCATCTTTCTTTTTTTTTTAACTAATTTGTAGTGTTTTCTTTGGAAAATACTATCTGAGTCACAAGAGATTCTATGTCTTAAAATTTTAAAAAATCCTTTTTCTCTTTCTTAGAGTGGGTTTATACAGGGGATAGGAAAAGACTGTAGAAAAGAGGCTTTTCTATGTTGGACTGTAATCAGTCAGGAGGAATTGTTGAAGGAGGGAACACATGTCTACATAAAGCAGCTGGTCTGAAAAAGTGGACATCAGGTTCTTATTTTGAAATCTCAGTGAAGATAGGTGAGGTATGTACAGCACTAAAAAAGGGCAAATGCAAGACCTATTTTAAAAAATGAGGGGTAGAGATGAAGATTTGGAACCATGATAACTTCTCTTTCTGAAGAATAAATCTGGAACACATAATTAAGTTTTCTTTGTAGGCATCAAGAAGATAAAAATGACAGGGATAACAGCCACCACAGGTGTGTTGAGTCATGCCAAAACAGATCAATGTCTACTATGATAATTCCACAGGTCTATGGATGACAAATAGTAGGTATCATAAATTTTGACATTTATATAGCTTCAACATATCATATGATAGTCTCATAAACAAACAACATAAATGGGTTATTGATTAAAATATACAGTAAATACCTCTTCTATAGAATGAGGTTAAGCTTAGAGAGACTCCAAGTATTTTTTGGAAAAGATTCAAATACAAAATTACCTTTCTCTGAAAAAAACGTCTGAACCATAAAGAAAATAGCAAATTAGAAAATGTAAGTAGTTACATGTAGGCAGGAAAAAATGCCTGTACAAAACCAGAATCGAATCAACTGGTTGGATGCCCTTTCTTTAAAAAAGGGTCTGGTTGTTACACACATTAACAAGAAGATGAATCACCTTGTCATGTGTCCAGAAAGGTGCCACCCTACCTGGATGCATAAGCAGGAAGGTGACCTGCAAGATGCCTGAATGAATCCTTTCACTCTCAGCCACAGGTACCAGACACTGCCCTTCAATACAAATAAAGACTATATTGCCAAAAATAAAAGAAATTCAGAAGAATGATCTAAGAAAAATCTGTAAGAGCTGATTGAAAGAAACAAGGTTGTGTAGCCTAGGAAAAGGATGGGAGAGGAACATGATTAACATCCTTCCAGTAACATGAAATGTTGCAGAAAAGAATGGTCCATTTGTAATGTCCCTGGAGGACAGAATACAAACCAATATTCTTACACCACAGCAAGAAAGATCTAGGCTAAAGCTCAAGAAAATTTTTCTACTGTTAAGGAAAGACTGGGATGGCTTGCTTGAGGAAACCTTTCTCAGTGGTGGCTTGAGAGCACAGCTTAGCCCTCTCAGGCAATCCAACGCTGCTGCGGGAGCAGATTGCTTAGATAAACTCTATATCTCTCTACTAGTCCCATTTATTCTATGATGTGGTGATATAGTCTGAAGATTTTAATGTATTAAAACCTGGACAAATGTTGTTGCCAAATGCCTCAAATAAACTGACAATCCTTGTATATTGCCTGAGCTCTAAGGCATGGAAGTCCCATCTACAGCACCATGACAGCTCAGCAGGTCTACGTGTTGAACTAATTAATGATTAATGCTAAGTATTTCTCATTGATGCATGAAGGTAGATTAGTTTTTATGGGTCACTTCAGCCAGCAGGAACAGTCCCTTGATGTGCAGTCCCAATTAAAAGTTACAGTTTTTTGCCCAGAGAAAACCACCCTACAGTCTCACCAGGTACTTTTTGTGTAAAGAAGTGCCTGTAAATATTTCTATTTTAAAATCTTTACCTTGATGTTAAAAAGCCTACCTAGTCCATGTTACTTGCACTTGCCTAGAAGAGGTCTGGTCTTACTTCAGACAATGGTATTTTTTAGCTTAACTCTTCACCAATGTTTTGTGGAAATAGGAAGCTTCTGATGAAAAGCATACAAGTGGAACATGCATCACTTTGATGATTAAGCAGCTCATGTGGAATGTAGGAGACCCAGGTGAAGTGTTTGTTCTTGCTGAACTGGCACACAGCCCTGATCTGGGCTTTTCCCCTTCCCAAGGGGCACTACAGCTGCTGAGATTATGGGTCAGTTTTTGCAGTCTGTAAATACTTCTGGTTTAAATTTTTTTCATTGATAATAATGAAAATACCTATTCCATGTTGCTAGCACTTGCTTCAAAGAGGTCTGGTATTGCTGAAGACAGAAGGAGGCAGGAAGGGTGGGAAAAGGGGAGGACAGAAGAGGCACAGGTGCAGGATTCAGCCTAATCCAGACAGTCTGTGACCGTGGTAACTGAACAGAAGCTGAGTCAGATTTCAACATGGGGTCCAATCTGTAATCACTACAAGAACCAACAGCGTGAATTTGGCAATCAACACCAAAATTCAGATTTGGGCTCAGTGTTTTTGTTTACATCATGGAGATAAAGTCAAACAATTTGAAACTGCTTCTCATTGGACTTAATTCCTAATGGCAGTGGGATTAAGAGTATTAACGATGAATGGTGGAGTATGAGGAGATGAATGAGTTAACAGGCAGTTTGAGCCATGTAATATTCAGTAATCACACTATGCAGTTAAATTGTAAAGGTTGATAACCAATTATTTGCTATTGTTCACTGGAAAACTCCTCACTTGGGACCATTTGTTAAGACTACTGCATGCATAATATCACAGCACTCTGTATTATCCTACTTTTTAATTTTATGTCAACATTGCAAAAACATTTAAAACACCTCCAACAATAGGCTCCCTTTAATAGTGATTTAAGTTTCACATGAGCTATCATCATAAAGGAGTAAAGTTGCAGGAACGTAGAACAGAAAAAGCAAAACTTCATTATTGATTCTGTCAGTTCACAAAAATCATCTGCATTTTGCTACTACTTGTATTTGACTCAGTGACTCTCAGTCTTAAATTTTAGATTTTAAATCTTACCTGAAAACTTCGGGGTCTTTTTAAGTTTTTTTCATTTAGTCTTTTTCTTTTTTTTTTCAATACTGCCACGGTTCATCATTTAAATCTGTGATGGCCTTGCAAAGGTCTTTGGGGCATGATTTGCATGAGGTATTAAAACATGTATTGTGATTTGTTCTTGTACAGAGCATGCAATTTCTTCAAAAGGCCAGAAGTGAGAGAATAGTGCAAGCACTATTAAACAGTGAGCCACAGCTCCCATTGATGCGAGTTTGAAAGGCAATGGTACAGCCCAATTTATGATTTTGTGCAGGCATTAACAGAGTATGTATGGGAAAAATTACCATGTGGAGATAAGGTCAAACGTAAATGAGCCATTTCAGAAAGCAAGGAAAGAATGTCCCAAGCACTGCAGTTTGTTAGCTGTTTAATGCTGTTTTGTAACTAGGACTAAAACTTACACTGTTTTTGCTCAGAAGAAAATATATGTGGATTATATCATTGTAGGCAGCAGAGTTTCCAGAGTAGGCTCAGAGTCAAGTGTGAATTGAGTTATTATTTTAGAAATTTGATGGTCTAAGTGTATCTCCCACCCGTCCACCTACTCCATCAATACAGTTTTAACAAATTTTATCTACAGTCTCATTTTTCCCCCATGACTCCCATTCTCCAGCTTAGTCATACTGACATTTCAGGCTGTGGGGTGGGTTAGCTGGAATTCCATACCCAGGAAACATTTGGCATGTGTGAAACAAAGACCATGAGCCAGTTACACATAAGCTAACATAAGTTACACATAGAAACTCACATATGTGAAGTTAAAAACGTACCAGTGTTTTGCTAGACAGCTGTATTACCAAATTCTCTGTTTTAACTAACCTTGTACGTCCAGATGTTTTTTCCTATGAAATCTTCTTAAATTTTAAAATACAGAATGATAGTAAAAAATGTTTCCTTTAACACCAACCTGTATCCGAAGTTTCGCCAGATGTGCATCCAGGGCATTCTTCACTGTAAGCTCTTTAAAACACAATTTAACCTCTCTTTTTTTCTCAACTAACTTCAGCTTCAGAAAGCTGATCTTTTCATCCATAACTTGCATCTTAGTATCTCCATTGCTACACAACGCCTCTTGCCTGTTTATTTTTTTATACAAAAAGCCTAGTTCTTCTTCTCGTTCTCTGAGCAAAAGATCACTGAAATACAACCAAAATTTAAAGATAATTTTTTTTAAAAATTAGTCTTATTCAGTATATTCTATTCAAGAACATAAGAAAGTTATCTTAAAAGAAAATCTGTGACGATGCATCAAGCTTTTCACAATTATCATTTTAATCTAATGACAGTATTTTAAATAAGCACCAAAATAATAGCAATGTGAAAATCAGAAAACAAAACCTGGGAAAGGTGACTCTTGTCTCTCAAATAATTTTTAAGGTCTTCTGACCTTCAACAGCAGAAAACCTTTAAAACTGGATTAAGATCAGAGAGATCTAGATAATCTGCATTTTTGCAGATGCCTTAACTGTGCACAATGCACAAACAGAGCAGGTGGCTACAAGTTCTCAAGGCATTCAGTAGCCAAGATGCCATATTTTTGGAATAATAATTCTGAAGCATGACCATGATCAGCAGTGAGGAACATCCACAAAATGCAAAGCAGCACTGGCAGTGCAGTGAGGGGGACTGGTCAGCGAAACATTGCAGTGCCACAGACCTTTAGCAATCCTAATGAGGAGTGCTCATAAGCTCAAAAATATTTTTGCTTCATGAATGTCAAAATTAAGCACTACCTTAGATCAAATTGACAAATGTACCTCTCATTTCGTTGCTCAATAGCCCTTTCATAATTTTTGTGTAGCTGTGAAATTTCCTCTTCAATGCATCTGGCTGCAGCGGTAAGTCTGTCAACATGCAAATACTTTTCCTTTTCTTTATTCTCTAGCATCTCTTGTTCAACTTTCTCATAATCCTTTTGGATCAACTCTTTCATTCTCTCATTCTTTTTAATCTTCAGATAGTTCTCCTGCAATTTTCTGTAACATAACAGAAATGTGGGAATATTTTTAGTTCTTTCAATTTGAAACCAATTTCAGCAATTAAAAGCAGAGCTGAAATGTATTTTTCAAGCACACAAGGGCTCCTCTATGTCTCTGCTTCACAGAAGCTTTACGAGAAGAAGAAAGACAGTCTGAGAGCAGATTTTTTTGCAAGTTCTTTCCAGCTTGAAAAGAACTGGATTCTGGCACAAGAAAAATGCTATACAGGGAGCATTGCACTACATCTTTTTTATTTTGTACTAGGTAGCCCAAGCAGCCATAAAAAATAAAGTTTAAGAGTATAGGCATAAACTCTGATGGAAAGTCGTAATGTGTAGAAAACCTGCCATTCTATTTAAATAAGGATATTTATTCTGTTGTTGCAACTCAAAGTTCTCCAAATCTATAGTTTACAAAACAGTGTGTCACAACATTAACACAAGAAAGGAAATTATTAGATTGCCTATTATTATTTCATATGCCCATTTGACAGATGAAAAAAGAAACCAAGACCTAATGGGAGGTTAGTGACAAGATCACATAAAAATAAAGAACAGATCTCATTATTTCCAGCATCCTTGTTGATCACTGGATGATGGCCCCTCATTTAAAAAACAGATTCTTGTCACCAAAGTATTTACTATCTCACAGCACAGAATTTAGAGTTATTGCATTTGATGTGTGGTATCACTTCTGGATCAAGACACAACTTTATCTACCCCAGGAAGATATTAATGTCAACGTACAAAAGAGGTGGTGAAAGGAGAAGCAAAGTCTCCTGTTAAAATACAGACCTGCAGATGAAATATCCTTCCCTCATGGGCTCCATCATTAAATTGCTGATTTGTTGCATACAGGGCAGGGAGTTGCTTTCTTTCATTTCCCCCACATGTATAACACTTTGAGTACCACAGGGTATTACTGAGTTTAATTAAATGTCTGTAAATCAAGTTGCAGACTGAAAGTATAACAGAATTGCAGAAATGCAATGTATTTTAAATATTTTCTGAAAATTTCTTGCCTTACTTGGACTGATACTCTGTCCTCCAAATTGCATGGGTTGCAGTGAAGTCAGTGGTACTGATGCTAAAGTCTATTACTGGGATTTAAAATATTTTTCATAAGCAAGAGAGTTACTGAAAATTCAATACCTCTGACTAGCTTTAACTCTAGTTTTGCAGAGACCAAAATATCTGTTGGATCTGTACCAAGTAGGGATATCAATAATAATATTTATATACTTCTGGTATCTACATAAAATTTATGTTGTTAGCCTTTTTTCTCCCTTCTTTCATCAACTGGGAAGGTCTCAAAATTTTTACAACAAAATGTCAGCTTGTACATCTTGACAAAATCACTTCAATCACTGGTTCTACCTCTTTTTTAGATGTCTCTAGCATGACTTTTGAAACTAAACTACTAGGAGATTCACAAAAAATACTTAGTGTATTCTTTGTCTGATTTAACAATTATTTGGCACCAAACAATGAAGTTTTTGGAAAATCAAGTTATTTTTAACTACTCAGTTTTGGTTTTCCTGTTTTGCTTACATAGCTGGCTATTCATTGTCTCCCTACTTGCCCAAGGACAGATTTCCAAGACATTGTAATTCCGTCTATATTGCAGAATTTCATTGCTAGGATGACAAAAAAATGGCAAAAAATATCCTCACTAAACAGTGGTCTAGGAAAAAAGAGTCATAAGTCACAAGTACCAGCTATTCTGCCTCATTATCTTTGCTGTGAATGTTTTTTGGAAATTGAAACCACATTTTATCTGAAATAAATGTTATGTAATAAAGTTCAGTGTGAGTTTGAACCAAAATCCCCAATTTGTTCTAATTTAATAATTAGCCATATTCCTAGCTAGTGACTCATTTAATAGTCCCATGCACCCCTTCATTAGGGAATCATATGTGTCAGACCTCTTTTTCTCTAAGGACAGTAAATATGAGTGCAATGGTGATGTTCATATTGAATGCAACAGCATGATAATGCAAAACCTGAGAGACCCAAGAACTCTGATATAAAGGATGAGAAATGAGAGAGCAGACAGACAAACTTCAAAATTACTTTCTGACAAGCAGTGATGCCCAAGCCATGTGGAGTGTTAGTGGGATAAGAAATTGGAACAGATCATGGAGGGGAGTTTCTAAATGGCTTTGTTTTATTCTGAGTTAAAAAGACAGGATAAAAACTATCAAGGATGATATAGGCATAATTGAAGATGGAATACATTCCCTCCTAAGATTTTTTCCAGTTTTAAATTTCTATAATTGTGAACTCCAGTGTACTTTACACTCACCTTTCTCTGGTCATAACAGCATCTCTTAAATTTTCTATATTATTTTCCAGCAGTTTTACCCTGTTTTCAACTTCTTTTGCTTTGCACTGAGCAATACGCATCAAATCTATACATTTATCCTTTTCAATTAATATAAGATCATACATCCTAATAAATCCTTGGAGCCTGAAGAAATGAGATGTGTGAAAGAAATAATTATTAGCATTTTATGCATGTGTTACTTGGATAAAAGTTGCTTTAGAAGACTTTTTTGAAATAATGTATTGTTATTATTTTCTTACTCTTTTTGGTTTTCTCTTTGCATCTTTTTACAGATGACTAGTTCACGATCCAGTCTTTTTAGTTCTTTAACAAGACTTTGGAGTTGAATCTGAAATTTAAATAAAATTTAGTAAGCACTTCAGATATACTAGAGAAATGTCTTCAGTGAAATTACCCAGAACAACAGTTAGATGAGAAAAAGACAGTGAGAGGACATTAGTATGAGAACTTCTTATTATAATGGAATGTTTTTATTATAACAACATAAAAAGCACAGTTTTTCTATTTATATTAAGCTTACAATTACTGTCAGTAAGGTAGATAGTTTGATGCTGCATCTTAAATGCTTGGTTCTCTGTATCTGGAGTTCCACCCTTTCAAGAACTTCTTCCTATTACAATCGAATGTTTTTATTATAACATAAAAAAGCACAGTTTTTCCATTTATATTAAGCTTACAATTACTATTAGTAAGGTAGATAATTTGATGCTGCATTTTAAATGCTTGGTTCTCTGTATCTGGAGTTCCACCCTTTCTACTGATCAGCCTGTCAAGTCCATCACTATATAATTATTTAGCATATGAACCACTGAAATTGTGTCTTTACAAATAAAACTTCTTTCTTACTCTATTCTGACTTTTAAGCATTCACTGATGTTTGAGCAGAATTGCATTCTGTTAAGTTTCTGGATCTTTTGATTCCAGTTGTGTTCAGTCCTCAACAGCCTGGGCCATCAATCTTAAACTGAGAGGCCTTTTCTCCTCTCCCACTGGCATCAGGAGGAGGAGATTGGTATTAGGGAAGACTGGTGGATGATGGGCTGCAATTTTGGGCTTGTCTATGTGTTCCTGAATTTGTATTACTTTGTTTTATTTATTTATGGACTGATTTTATTGAAGGCACAAAGCCTGACATGTTTGTTTATATTTACAAACAGAGTTTCCCAAGATGATGGAAGGGTAGCTTATCTAATTTATCTGATTACAGACATACATTTTGGAAACGTCAATACCTTGTTTCCATATAGCAATTTGGTATTTAGCAAATTCTGTATGACATCACAGCACATGTCATGCCAGAAAAATGCAGGCAGCAAATACAATGATTAGTCATAGGAAAAGTTTTCTTTCCCTCTTTCTCTAATCAATAATTATTATATTCAATATAATTATTTATGCTTTGAAATGTAACAGGAAAATAGAAATTTCTGCCTCACTTTGGAATGAGTAGTAGTTCCGTTTATCTTCTAATGTTTGTATATTTGTAAAATAAACCACACAATTTTACTTCTGGGAATCTCATGTAGTCTGCTATTCTGCCTCTTTCTTTCAAATTGTTCATTTTATCCCATGGTCTTGAAAGAAAATCACAGAATCTCAGAGTCACAGAACGTGCTGAGTTGGAAGGAACCCACAGGATCACAAGACCAACTCCTGGCCATGCACAGCACCATTCCCAGGAGTCACCCCATGTGCCCCAGAGCATTGTCCAAAAGCTCCTTGCACTCTGTCAGGCTGGCACTGTGACCACTGCCCTGGGGAGCTGTTCCAGTGCCAGCCACCCTCTGGGGGAAGAACCTTTTCCTAACACTGAACCTAAACCTCCCCCAACACAACTTCAGGCCACTCCCTCAGGTCCTGTCATTGTCACCACAGAGCAGAGATCAGTGCCTGCCCCTCCTCTTCCCCTCGTGAGGAAGTTGTAACTGAGTGAGGTCTCCCCTCCATCTCCTCCAGGCTGAACAGACCAAGTGACCTCAGCCACTGCTCACCCGGCTTCCCCTCAAATCCCTTCACCATCTTTGTCTCTCCTTTGGGCACTCCCTAAATGTCCTTTCAAATACCTTGTTTCAATTATGGAGTCATATTTTAACATACTGCACTGCACCACAAATTGCAATAAAACACCACAGTATTGTGAGTTTCCAGTGTTCTGGAACTTCAAAGCTAGGGTGGGAAATGAGTCCACAGGCTCCCCTCACTAGTAATTTAATTTCTCCCTATACCAGCTGGTAGTTTTGAACAGCCTTCCAAATATATAATTTTTTACCTTGGTTTTCTGAACATCCCTGCATTTCAGTTGCTTCTCATCAGCTCTGAGCCAAGTCAGACGTGTAAGTGTGGATAACTCATTTCTGCTTTTTTCCTGCTCTTTGAAAAGCAGTTGTTCTGCAGCAATGCATTCTTCTAACACGCGGGCATCCATATCTGATATCATTTCCTAGAGAAGATTAAATTTAAATCATAATGCAACAATGTATCAGTGTTGGCAAACCCAAAGTTGGAAATACTTTGGGTTTATCTGCAACGTAAACAAATATACAGACTACATGGATTTAAAACCATAATAAATTATTGCTTTAAAACACCATGCACCAATCCCTATAATAACATTTCAGAACATATTATCACCTAGGAGCATTTCTGTTCCTCAGTCTAACATCTTTCAGCTCTTGTCCATTGGTCAGAATGGATATTTATAGAATCTTTAAGTAAGTTCACTGTCAGGTCTTCAGCAGGAGGTGAATGGAAGCTTTCCAGGCTCCACTGGCTGCATGCCTGTCCATGGCACACAAGTTACATATCCCAAAGAATGACAGGCAGGTACTGGAAGGCATATGTATCCATATACAAGTAGATCCCCATTTGATAATGTGAATGAATTCAAACAAAACACACAAAGAAAATGGATATAAGGGTAAGAAGACAGGAGGTTTGACCTCAGAGGTACCAAGGAGGTATGTCTGAAATAGATTGCTTCTGATGAAGTCATTTATGTAGTGGCAAGTACTAAAGCTCTTGTAACACAGGTTTCTGCATTACCACACTCTGTATGGCTGTGCTGCATACAGACAGACATCCACAAATGACAGAACTGTGAAGATGAAAAACCTTAATGTACAAATGCCGAATTTTTATTGTTGAAACAAGACAGGGTTTCATATCCAAAGGAAATGTATAACAATATATTTTTAACTGCAGTGTCATCAACAACATTTAGAAAGACTTAAACTAGAAAGTAGATTTGCTTTCTACCTTCTAATATATGGCCAGTAATACCAGAAGTGTTTTTAAAAATGAAAGACAAGTGGGCTTTAAAACTGAAGAAATACTACTGCATTTTCTCTCCAGAAAGCTGCAGCTAGAAACTCCATTATTTTTTCTTCAAACAGTCCCTTTATTCTCATGATAGAAAACCAACTGTCAAAATGAAAAAAATATGAGAAAGCAGAATTCAGCACCTGTTCAGCTAAATCTCTCTTGAGCGTTTCAATCTCGTCCTGCAGTTCTTGTCGTCTTTCTAATAATACTGCATTGTTTTTTGAGTTAATTTCTGCCTACAAAAATAAACCAAGCACATAGTGATGCAAACAAAAAATGAGGAAAATTTAAACTGCAGATACTGTTAGAAGTAGCTACACAAATTAAGAAATTAAATTTCTCTCTTCTTGTAATTGCTAGTAGAAGAATGCTTAATTGCATAGAGTTCCTCAGCAAGTTACTGAAGTTTCTCAAATTTTTCTTTCAAGAACACTAAACTTCACATATTTAGATGGTTTACGGTTTTCAGCAACTAAATTGTCATTAAAAAACGTTAAACACATAGAGAATATATAAAAATATCACCTAAATTCACAGAGGATTTTCAGAGTGAAATTCTGAGCTTACTAAAGGGAAAAAAGAGTTCACATCTACATAGAATGAATATCACATCTTTTTCTTTTTGTCACTACAGCAGGATTTTCATTAGACTCTAGAAAGTCAAATCTAATAACACAAACATTTATGTATAAATTTTTCATGTACATTATGGGAAAATTCATTTATTCAATCAGATTTTAACCTAAGTATGTGAAGGAATATATTAAAAACACTATCTCTGATTAAAATATATCAGATCAATCTCACTACAACTACTTGCATGATTTAACTTGTAAGACAAAAAGCTGTACTAGCCTCACTGAACTTAACTTTTCTTGAAATTCTTTATGGTTATAAGAAAGCAAGAAAAAATGCATCAAGCTAACTAGGATGGCATATATTGCCTCTGTGTAATTGATGGGGACAAAAAATTTAGCAGGAACTGCTCTGATAGGAAAAGGGACATTAATTTTAAAATAAAAGAGGGACAATTAGATACAAGGAAGAATTGTGTTCAACAAGGGTAGTGAAACACTGGCCCAGGTTTCCCAGAGAGGTGGTTGATGCCCTCCCTGTCTCTGGAAACATTCAAAGCCCGATTGGACTGAGGTCTGACTAATCTGATCTAGGTAAAACTGTCCCTGCCTACTGCAGGGGCTTGGATCAAATAACCTTTAAAGGTCCCTTCCAACCTAAAAGAGTTTAATTTCAAATCTGTAATTCACATGGATGGGAAAAAATTACATTTAACAACCAGGAAGATATTCAAAGATAATACACACCACCGTGTATCTTGCTCAGATCTCAACCAGATGTTAGAGTTCACTATAAAAATCAATACTGATAGGTAGATATTTTGTTCTTGTTATTTTCACTTCCATGATAGTATTGTAAAATTAAATTCTGTTCACTTGTATTATGGCAAAGGGAAACAAGAGACACAGTACAGGTCAAAGTGTAGATTTACTTTAGTTGCAGCTGCCAGCTCTGACATTTGATTTGACTTAAGTTTACTAAAATGTTAGCAAAGCCTGTCCTAAGAAAGTTACTTTTGATCTTGTGTTGGGATCAAAAATAACTTTTCTGTAGAGCATATATTAGTTACCACTTCTGCTGTGTAAAAAGCTCATATAAACATCTTTAATCTGTTCAGGACTTTAATCCTAATGTTCACATAAGACAGGGCTAAACTTAGGCTGAACAGGACTTCTGTTCACATAAGACAGGGCTAAACTTAGGCACTTTTGGCTGTTTCTGCGTTGGCCTGAGCAAAGAGAAGGCCCACATGGAGAGGAGCAGCAGTTCTGCTCCAGGCTGGAGACAGCAGGACCAGCAGTTCTCTTTCACACACAATTTTGGTGTTTAGCAATAGCTGACCTTTCACAACTTACTAACGAGAAAAACACATTTGAAGGAAGTGTTCCTGTAATTTCCTTATTCTACAAACCAGTCATTCTGCACTTCGCATATGATTCAAAAGAAGACATTTGGGGAACCACGCTGATGTACTGCTGCTTCTGCAATCATATTTTTACACAAACAATTAATTCTTGTGATTTTTTTCGCTTTGGATCACAATGAATAAATGTAATTCTGGGGGTTTAAGTAGTTAAAGAAATTTTATCTACATAAAATACTGGTTTTTAAGTTTTGCTGGGTATTCCCAAGTCTTACAAATTAAAATTGTCCCAGTATAGCAAAAGCCAGGCAGAATCAAGTTGGCCACTTGACTCTTCCTTACTGCAGTACTGTATTTCAATGCAGAGGAGCAGTGATTTCACATTTGCTCTTCTAACAAAGCCAGGAAAGGAATCAGAGACACATGGGAGGATGGGCTAAAACAACTCTGTTGCTGTGGCTATTTGCATCAGAGTAGTGTCCTGCAGCTGCTGGAGTAAAACACTGATCAGAATTCCACTTCTGTCTCTCATGGCTTTCCTTTTCCCTTACTCCTCATGATGATGCTGTTTGTAACACACATACAAGGTCTTGTCCTTCCACAGGGTGAAGGAACTGGGCTAGGATGGGTTTGGATCCCACCCCAGGCTGTGAACTCTAACCACAGCTGCTGGTGAGTTATGGCATTGATTTTAGCATTACATGTTTTAAACAATTGTAGTTCTTCATCCAGGAACATTTCCTCAATGGGAACACAGGCAAAAATACCAACTCCCAGATTCTCTGAGATGATACTAAACAGAAACTCTTTAAGCTTTAAGATCAAAGTCTGGAATATGAGTCAGCCCTTTAATCATTATTTAAGGAAATTCAATCCAAAACTTTGTTGTGTAGCTCTAGAGCTTTCATCCCTTCTCCCAGGTGAGCTTATATTACTAGGTAATAAACATGTGAATTCAGGAGGAATTTCAAGGGAGACAAAAATATTGTTTAATAATATTAAATATTATCAAGTAATAATTTGAGTTGTTTAAATAGCAAAGCTAAGTATATATGAGTTTTGATATGTATAGCTATTTTTTAAAACGTTACAATTATCTAAGACTCTTTTCTGTCCTGAATTGCATAGAAGGACCAAGAAAAATTTGAAGGATAGTGTCAAGGTAAGAAACATCAAGTGATGTGAAAAAACATTCTCCTGACTAAACAAAATTAATTCTTTATTACTCAGAATCTAGACTGAGCAAGGAGCAAACATAGGAGAAAATATATATAGGAAAGAGAGAATGGAAGAACTTGTGATGAGAGAAAGAAAATATGAAAAAAAAATATAGACAAAGCAAATTTTTAAGAAATAATTGGAAGCAGAAAAGAAAGAAAGTGCCTTGAATACACAAGCAGAATAGTACTTCCCTTTAGAATTATCTAAGTAAAACAGAAAAGAGTAATGCATTATTGAAAGAGGAGTGGGTGAAATACTAAAGCAAGGAGGAAATGAGGAAGATGAAATAACAATCTTCTCCCCTTTTTCCTTTGTAGGACTGTCAAGAAATTTCATAGAAATATTTCTTACAAGAAAATTTACAATCTTTATGATCAATGCATTCATACAGACCTCTGATTTGAGTCTTTTATGCTTTGCCTTATCTCCTTCCAAGCAATCCCAAATCTCTTTCAGCTGTAACTCTATCTTTTTTAAACTTTTCAGTTCTTTATCTTTCTGTGTTTGATGGTGACTGAGAATATCTTGCTGATTTTTGTGCTCCAAGACACATTTATTTAAATTATTTTCCAGAATTTGTCTATATAGATAGACACAGAATTTTAGAAACAGGTAACTTAATCAAGAAATATACGTAAACAGGCACAACTATTTTAATGGTTTTTGAGTACCTCATTACTATGGCTCAGCAAGACAAACTTGTAAACTACTTACAAAAATTATCAGAAAGGTAGCAATTTTTAAAACTATAATCAATTATAATACCCTAATTATGTCAGTGAGGTCTCACAGTCTGTTCTAAATATGCTAAAAATAACAGCATATCTAGTACATATAGGAAGAAGAAAGCATTTTTTAGTATAAAGCAACATTTTGAAATAAGATGCCATGGGCCTGCAATAAAAAGCTTGAAAAGCAAAAACATTTCTGCTGAGCATATGGCCAGAATCACAACTATACGTCTCCCTCTGCAAAGGAGGAATCACTGGAAGCTTGCCTTCAACCTAACAGTTTATTTTACTTCACCAAGTAAATATAAAATTATAATTGAAGGGAATATTAAAGAGACAACCAATCCCCAGTGAAATTCAGGACTACATGAGGGAAGACATCTATGAGCCTCATTTGAAAACGAAAATGTTGACATACTTTATTCTTCAAATTACTTTCAGTGGGTTGCACAGGAAAGAAAATGTGTTCACTAAATGGAGAAACTCTCTAAAATATTTCACTTTTAAGAGCAAAATCTCATAGGATTTTATCAAATGCTTGTGCTTTTTGATGTTCTTTTTCAAGGCAGATCCTAGATTCCAGATTCCAAATTTTTATGTAAATATTTTGGAAATGAAAACCAAGCCTGATCATTTATAATTTGCACTGGTTGCAGCATAAAACGTGAAAATAGAAGCAACAGCAGAAAAAAAGAAATAAACTTTTGAGAATAAAGAATCATTCATTCTTTCCATATGGCTCATGTCTCTTACTCTAACCTGTCCGATAGGATGGCTAATTCCTTCTCTGCATTAATTTCTAGTAATTTTGTCAAATTAATGCATTCTCGTTCATTCTTTTGCATCAAAGTTTGTCTCTCATCCATTTCCTTCATTACATCTTTTTTTTCTTGCAAAATCTCTGCAGTCCTTTTTTCAGTGGCTTTCAGTGTTCTATTCAATTCTTCTATTTGGTCATTAAGGACTTCATTCTTCTTCTCTGCATCACTGTGGATATATTTTAACAAAGCAGTAAGGGTTAAATTTTCCACATGCATATTTAAAAGACGAAATGTAAGTTGTCAGTTTTTATGGACATACAAAATAACTTCACAACAATATATGTCAAATGTTTAAAATCAGACAGTGAAAACCTTCAAATTCCAATATAGTCCAACAAGAAAACTGCAGATAGCCATGGGGCTGACAGCTTAGCACCATGAAAATATTAGAAAGAGTTCTAGTAAATTGATCTCTGTCAACATTGCTACGTACAGGGGTGTGACATTTCTAAATATTCTTCCTGAGAACAGGGAACTCTGGTTAGTTTATTCTGTGATGTGACACAAATATAAAGACTCATTTAAACATTTCATTAATAGCAATCTGCACAATGTGGGTTTTAGAAATTGCTTCTCTGTAACACTATAGGGCAAACTTAGATTTATGACGGCAGAGTTGCATAAAGCAGAGTAGTGAGGAAAATGTAGAACAAAACCATCATACAAGTCTTAAACCTGAGACATTTAACAGTCAGTTTATGTGTTACAGATAGGGACTGGAAGCAGGAGACACAAACTTCAGTGTAACCCTGTGCATAAACAGGGTACAAAACCCTCCATTCATCTGGATGGCAACTGGACCGCTGGGATCTGCGAGTGACCTGGCTGAAACTGCACAGAGCTAATTTGATTTAACACTTAGAGAAAACAGCACATGCCATGCTTCAGAGGAGAAGAACCCCAGCTTCATGAGAGAAGAGAAAGAAAAGGCTGGCTGCTGGCTTGCATTTCCCCTTATGAAGTATTGGAGGCTGCAGCTCATGTCAGGACCCTACAGCAAAGCAGCTGTGACTCCACGGCTGGTACAGAAAGACTAAGGGAAAAGGGTACAGAAGGACTAAGGGTTTGTAGCTCAGGCCACACTGTCAGCTGTGGAATTGTTAGTTTAAATGTTGATCCTAATTTTAATCATAAACAACCATACTCAATCATTTCTATAACCAAGGGATAAGAAGAAGTCATACATATATATATATATATTTATGTATTCATGTATATAGAATTATTTGTTAAAACATACATTTTTTTCTGATTCAACTTCTCAGTTTCTTTTGCAAGTTGCTTTGGAACACCAAGGAGCCTAACTAGCTCAGCCTAGTAACAAAACAGAAAGGTTTGATTAATAGCCTCAAAAGCTGATGAGGTTTCATAGCAGTAATATTAATTTAGAACTGCTGTGAAAATTGGTAGGAAACATTTTTTAATTGCTGGAGTTTTTTCTAGAGAATTGTAGCTCCTACTTTTAAAACTAAACATTGATGTTTACAATTTCAGTGTATCTTCAAGATAAAAATTATGCTTGAACATTATTAATACATCTTACTATGATATTTATACCATAGAAACAAATAGACCCAGGTATGTTTTTAATTCTCAGTGTAAATCTGTATTAACTGTAATCTGAACAACCTAAAATAACACAACATAACTAAGATGTCTTTATAGAAACTACTTTTTAATCAAAACCATGACTCTCAGTATTTCCTGCAGGAGCAATAAGGATATGGCACAGCAGCATGTTTCATGCCTATGGGAAAATGGTCTAATATTTAATATAATGACATAATGAATTTGGAATGACAACATCCAGAAGATTTGCTGCTCCTTTGGGCAAAACATGGACCCGTACACACACATGCACACACACTCACAGATACATGGGCACAATTAATTCTGTGTTACTTTTAGATAAGTCTGCATCTCCTGAAGTCTTTTCATTTCTTCCTCATCTGTTAATATCATCTTTTCTTTGGATGAAACAGCTTCTTTTATTGAATCAATTTCTGCTTTCCTCTGGATTACCTCTTTGCTGAGCTCATCACAATTTTCTTTCAACTGTTGAAGTTTATCATCTTTCTTTAAAAATGAAGTAAAAAAGCAGATTAATTGTATTTCCCCCTTTATATTTTGCAGGCTTCTGATAACACAGAGTCACTAATACTGAATGATGATAACATTTTTAGTGACAAGATATGAAATGTAATTTTTTTACCAGAAGAGTGTTTCTTCTATCAATACTAACAGAATTTTATTTCCAACAATGCTACATACATTCCTCAGGATTTATGACTACAAATGTATTTTTCATGTTCACATCCTAGAACTAACAACCTGCAGCTACCTTTACATGCAGTATCCATTTGCTGAATATAGTAAATATTTTCTTGGGTAAACAAAATTCCAGATCTTTTCTGAATCAGTTATTTACTGCTTTCCCTAGTTATAAAAATTGAATGATCTAATAAAGCCTATAGATTCTATTTATTTTAAAATCTTTTTTCCATGTATTCTATTTAAAATAAACTCTAGAAATGCACATTGAGAAAACATTTTCAGTGATTTTTTATATGTTAGTTGACAGAACATAAAACATTGCTTTTCTCATGTTTTGTACTTACCTTTTCTTTTGACATTCTTTCATATTCATTTTCCAGAAGCTTTTTTTCTTCTCGCAAACTACAGTAAAAATCAGAGCAGAACTAAATATATTAGTAATAGAATAATCATTACTGTAATATAGTAAATGGTAAGAAAGCATGAAAGCCTATCCTGTGTTAGACTGAAACACGTGGTGAATTAGCATGAAAGGTGCTCAGATTCAAAGCAGGTTTGCTGACTGGTGACTGGGGGTCCTGAAGGACTGGGTGTACATATATGGAGGTACACATCTTTTTCTACAGTGCACACATCTAAAAATTTGAACCTGGTTTTTCTTAGACTGACTACCTCCTGCAGGGGTGCATTCAAGCCTCACTCACCCGTGCTTTTTACTAGTGGCATCCTACTCCCACAGTTCCTCCCAACCTCAGAAAACAAAATGTTAACACAGAAATGTGGCAAAAGGAAAGAGGAGATGGGTAATAAATAGCCACAAAGACATCTAATATCAAAGAAAGTGCAGTTGACAGTGAGAAACCTTCTTCTTCCTATGAATGTTTTCACATACACATTTACTCTTCAGACAACTGTAAGTGAAGCTCCTCAAACCTGGACTGGATCCTGTGGAAAAAAAATCCTGAAAAGTGTCAGGGGTTATAGGCTAAGCCAAAGGAGTATGGTGGAAAAGTAAATTGAATAGCCACAGTGATCTTAACTATATCCAAAACTAAATTGCAGTTTAATTTCAGGCAACAATCAGGACAGATGCTAAAGAAGTGAAGCAAGAAGAAAGGAAAAAACAGGAAAGCTCTTAGATCCTGTGGGGGTTTAGTAACACTGCCCTGAGAAAGATGAAGGAATAGTTTTAAAAAGGGAGCTCAGCCAACAAGCTTGTTGGATTTACAATAGGGAGCTTCTTGGTAGCAGGTGGTAAATACTGCCAAACACAAAAATTGTCCCTTCTGAAGATGCATCCCCAGTGCCTGCACAGAACAGTTGTGCACCTGCAGTAGGTAAATGGGCTGCAGCAGTCTGTGTGCCATCACAACCAAACAACTTCACTGAGTCCTCAGTCCCAGGTATAGCAAAGAATCAACTTTGGTGCTTAAATTTATGTTTATGATTCCAGTGGGAGCATGTGCTGGTCAACATTTCTTGAGACCCAGGGCAGTCTAGTAGCATAAATAACTCTTTAAATTAGGGAAGAATTAAAGGACAAGCTTCCATAAAACACTTGTGTCATGTGCAGCTATAACAACGGCAAGGGACTCCTGGGCATCCCCACTCACCCAAAACAGCTCTTACAGTTACCTCAAAATGTGGCTGATCCAGAAAAGAAGCAGCTGACTGCTATTTCTTTTTTATTATCTTCTGAAACCTTCCAGAAGCAGTGCAAGACTTTGCATGGTGGTGGTGGTGGTTTGGGTTTTAGAAAGTGTGTGGTCATGGGAACATAGATCAGTCTCCCAGCAGCCAACCTCATGGAGGACCATCCCTAGGACCTTATGCTCAACTCTTTAGCAGTGCTGATTTAAGATTCCCTCCTCCATGCCATCACCCCCACTCTCTCAATAAACTCTTTCTTTGATTTTAGTCCTCCAACAAAAGGAGTGAAGCTTATACCTGGAAGTCTCAGGAAACATATTTCTAGTTAAGGAAAGGAAATAGTGAAAAAAGAGAACTGGGTTCGTGGTGTTGCAATATAAACAGAACAAAACAAAACAACATCTCTCCCATGAATAAGAAGCTCTGGCTCAGATGAAGAGCAAAAAGAAAATAGACACAGAGTAGATGTTGTTGATATACAGTATGTATGATATTTGTATGGGCAGACTACAAGTATCCCTCTACAGGGACTGGTAAAGACTAAAAACTAATTTGAATGCCAGCATTTGAACACTCAGAGAGTGAACGAGTTTGCAAAACAAAACCTTTTAAAGGAAAATGTTGAATTTAAATCAATCTTCCTTCAAAACTGATAAAATTAATTTTAAAAATATTCAAAAATTCCAAAATCATATTCCAAACCTATTTTGGCAGTACTTCTAATTGAACTCCTTGGGACTGACATAATCACACTAAGGATAATAATGCCCACTTTGCACAAATATCCATAACTGTTTGACTGCCACAAAATATTATTAAATAAGCCCTGTGCAAAATGATTAAAGAGGTACTGCAGGGCCTGTGGTTAGTCCGTGCTGTGCCCTCTTTCATATCACGCTGGACGATCAAAAGAGCAATACCAAAGATCAGGAGGGAGAGCAAAGCTGACACTGTTTTCTTTTGTCACATTCCTCACTCATGAGGACAGATTCCTGTGGAACCATTCCAGTTTCACAACAAAGACTTTTCCATCCAGCAAAAGTAAAATGATTTGAACACTTCATTTTCTGTGACATAAACAAAGGCAACAGTGAATGACAAGGGCCAAGTTACCTAAATAGCTGGCAGACCAACCACTTCCACACAAAAACCAGTGGAAGTGTGAAAAGAAAAAATGGGTAAAAAGAAAGAAGTTAAATCTCTCCCTTTTGAGCAATGAGTTTGATCCAGCTGCCCATAGCCAGAAGTCAGACAGCGCTATGCTAGCATCCTTACTTCAGGGTTTCCTTACTGTCAGGGATAAAAACTGGGACCACAAAAGGGCAGGTCACCTCACATTGCAGGTGCCTGTTTTAGGATGACATAAATTACCAGTTGAAAATAATATACATCTCCCTGTGCACTCTAAAGGAGAGGCAGGATGATTAACACATATTTAGAAATCAAATCAGATTCTTCAAAGAATTGAAGTTTACCGTCTGTTTCAACAGATGAACAAAGAAGCTTAATGTAAAATAAGCAGAGAAATTCTGGTTTTTCCATTTAGCATTTGAATCTTTTCACCTGTGTTATAGGGATATCAACCTCATGACGGTTTTACTTAGACATCAATGACAACAAAAAAATCAGTTGCAATTGGCATTAGGCATTTAAATTTCCCATTATTTTATAGCCCTTGCCTGATGGATGTATTTTTCAACATCAACATGTTTCAACGTGGATTTTATTATTACCATTGTCATGCCTCTAACAATACACACAATGGAAAGAAGATAAAACTCTTAAGTTTAAGCATTAATGTGTGCAAATGTTTCTAACATTGCTCTTCTTATCTTCATGAAGCCTGTTACAGTACCCTACATAAAAAGAGGTCAGTTTAACTCACTACAAATGCACCTCTGCTGTCAGAGGTGCAGTTGTAATGAGTTAAAAAAAGACAGTTGGAAAACTGGGTCATTAATAAAAATACAATCCAGATTTTTTCCCTGAGAGACATTTACAGCTGCAAGCTGACACAGAAATAAAAAAAAATATGACTGAGAAATTAAGAAATGTAGTGATAGTTGTCAACAGAAGTCCATTTCACTTCCTCAGCTCACAAAATAACCACAACACTGTTCGCATTAGAAGTCCCATCATGGAAGAAAGCAAATTCCTTCAGCTACTGCCTCCCAGAGCTGGGATTGCTTGCAAATCCACAGAAGGTGTTTGGCACCTCACAACTACAACCCAGTAACCACAGGTAGAAGTTATCACAGCTGACAAGCTGCCAGCATGAGCTTCCTGTAAGGCTCTGAGCTGTAATTAATTTGTAAGCACATGAAAATGCAGTCACAAGACCACCTGATAACTTCAGCTGTGGTGCTATTTATTTTACTTATGGCCTGTAATTCTTTACTAGAGAAGCTATGGATAACAGCATAACTTTTCACTTTCTAATTATTGAGTGACTAATACAGAAATAATTACAAGTGTTGAAATAGTTTCCTTATTTGCAATGCCTCTACAAGGACAAAATCAGTTTTGCAATCCCAACTTGCATGCAGTTGCGGAGTACATCAGTGAGGAGCTATTTTGTTACCTGAACAAATCACTGTAAGAGCTGGAGATTGGACCTTGGCTTCCAAATAAAATTGTTTCCAAGCATCAGGCACCTTTAATCTCACAAACTTGTTATAGATAAATTTAGTACAAATTAATTGCTTATTTTTAAATGAAGTCTTTAGATGATAAATTTAGATTTAATATTTATTATTTCTCAATAATAAACTACAGTTGATACCACTGTGTAATAAAGAGAACCAACTCTTCTTTATGTTGTCTCATAAATCAGAACTCCAAGACTCACACAAATATTAAAGTGAAATCACCTTTAATCTCACAAACTTGTTATAGATAAATTTAGTACAAATTAATTGCTTATTTTTAAATGAAGTCTTTAGATGATAAATTTAGATTTAATATTTATTATTTCTAAACAATAAACTACTGTTGATATACCTTTAATCTCACAAAGTCTTGTTATAGATAAATTTAGTACAAGTTAATTGCTTACTTTTAAATGAAGTGTTTCGATGATAAATTTAGATTTAATATTTATTATTTCTCAACAATAAACTACTGTTGATACCACTGTGTAATAAAGAAAACCAGGTCTTCTTTATTTTGTCTCATAAATCAGAACTCCAAGACTCACACAAATATTAAAGTGAAATTTCTCCTTAAGCCAGAACAAATCCTTGCTGATCACACTGATTCTTTCATTCTTTTTCCACTAATTTGATTTTTTGATCTATATTCTTATTACTGAGGCTTCTTATCAATTATTTGAAGAAATATCATGGCTCTGAATGCAATTTTAGCAGAACTGAGTGGAGAGGACTCTTTTTCCCTCTACTTTATTACCCTTGCCAAGTAGTTTTTGAGAGGAAGAATACTCCCAGAGTCAGCTCTGACTTTGGGATGGTGGCCCAAGCTTTATAAGCTCAGTAAAATCCTTTCACCCCTTGTTGTCCCTCTGAGCTCTAAGGCAGGCACACCAGCAATGAGCCCAGTACATTCATATGGCAGAACTGGCCACAAACTGGGAGAGGAGGAACATACCCACAGTGGGAGCACACCCCATCCATGCAGTCACCCCTCAGGATAACTTCCCTGACAGCTGAAGTGTGTCAAGAAATACACTGAATACCTCATGTACCTATTGAAATTATGAAAAAAGTCACAAAACTCCTGAAAACCTGACAATACTTCAATGCAGAAAGCAATTGAATTTATTCTGGGAATGCTGAATATTCATTGGAACAATAAAGAGTTAAAACAGGAAATGAAATATCATCTTCAGCTGTTCGGAAAGGTCTGGAAAAAATTGTTTACAGAGGCAAGCAAATAGGAAATGAAATAGGGAGAGAAGAGTATGCAATATTAAGAGACCTTGAGATTTTTGCTAATATTAGGGCATATCTGTATGACTCCTCAAGTGTGAAACCTTGTCATTGCCAGATTTGAATCTGAGTGCAAAAGAGGTGCTAAGTACTCTTAGATACCAGAGAAAGTGAATTAAGGCAGGAAATAAAGTCATCAGAGATAAGAGGGATAATCCAGAGAAATAAAGGTTTACAGAAACAGGGGAACAGAGATCTGCAGAACCAGGGAAACATGGTCTGATTTCTCACTTCCAGCTCAGCACTAGATCTGAGTAGACATTCTAAAAAAAGGATAAAGCAGTAGATAAGACACACAGATAAACTCTTCAAAACCTTTCCCCCTCCATGCTCCCTGCCTGCTATACATACAAAAGTAAATAAACAACATGTTTGTTTTCAGACTGAACAGCCATTAGTCATAATTCCCAAAGAGAAATTTACTTGTAAGAGCCAAGCACAGCTGGGACTGTATTAACACAGTTGGACAACAAGGGAAACTGTGTTCCAGAGAGATCAAGGGCCAAGAGAGGTTGGGCCATGACTTTTTATCCTGAGAAATTAAGGAAACTAAACAGCGACCTAACAGCAAACTTCTAATGCTTTTGATACAGCTTCCCTCCCATTTGTGACATTGTCCATGCACCAGATACTTCAGAAAACATTGCTTTACTCTTTGGATAAAACCAGCGAGCATATGGATCTTCATTTTACACCGGTGTTACTATTAGATCACCTGCTACTCACAACTCTGTTCTAGACATTCACTTTCACCGTCTTTCACAGGCACCAAACTCATCCCTTCATTACAAACATATATTCACACAAATTATCTGGTTTTCTTCATAGTCCACTTCTCATTTCTCCACTACACTCACTCACCCATTCTTCACAGATATTGTGCTAGTCCTGTTTGTTCTACACTAGTCCAACCTGAAATCCGTATAATTTCTTGAATATTTCTGGAATTTCTCTCCCAGTAAGCAAATCCAAGGCACATCCTTCTCACTCCTCACCCACAACACGCATAAGACCCAATGCTACCACGAGGCATGAAACAGATTCCAAATAGGAACAATTAAATAATCTGTAGCTCCCGAGTTTGAAAAATTGACAAATTAAAGGGGCAAAGGGTTGTACAAAAGAGATCTATCAAACCAATCTGCAGCAGTGAATCAGATGCTCATTGTCTCATCCAATACAGGAACTACAGGGCACTAAGTGAAGCTGTAGGGGTCAGGTTAAAAAAGTAAGGATGTGACAGCTCTTACGTAGTTAATCTGTGCAACGCCTTGCCCAGCATGCTGCAGTGTCAGAGGTTTGTTCTGGAGGAGACAGAAGTTCAAAGGAGTAGGGGTCAGCTGAGGATTCCCAAACACAGAGGACTGTATTTGGCTCATGAAATCCCCACATCACAAGAGGCTGGGGCTGCACTTTTGGTCTCCATTAGATAATGCACCTCACAGACCTCTGGTGTGACTGCACAGCTGGATTTGATCCCGGGCAAGACAGAAGACATAAGTTTCTTACTACAGGGAATGAACATTTCTTGCAGCATGACTGACCCAAAAAGTGGATTTTTAATCTGCAAGATATTCAGTTCATATATAAAAATTAACCCAGTAAATGTGTTAATTTTTATAAGGATAAAAGGATAATTGAAACAATGCCTACACTGCATTTTGTATAGAATACAGTTCTCATTTTCACTGGAGCTAGAAAATAGAGAATGGGAAAATATTACCTAAACATATAAATCCTATAATTTTTTGGAAAATTGATGCAAAATCAGAGAAAAATGTTCAAAAGATATGAGGACAAATGGTTAAAAAGCATGATACTTCTGAAGAACTCATTTCTGGACTGCTTGGAAATTGCAATAAATTCTGTATTTAATAATTATTTCAGGAAATTTCATGTTTCTTAGTTATCTCATAGCAAATAATTTTTTCCAGATGCTTTCCATGTATCTTTCCCACTCCCAGTTTGCTTCATTTTCTTAGTTTCTTTTTCTCTTAGAGCAAATACTTGGCTCTAAAAAAACACAAAAAAAACCAAGAAAGAGTTTCCAGAAAAACCTACTCCATGCAGTGTGTACAGTGTTTCTGATTTCCTTGAAGAATAATAATCTTAACTGCTGAGATGCTGACATTGCCTGTTTGTATTTATATACACACCAACAACACTACAGCTGGATTGAAGATGGGTAAAAATAGTAAGTCCCCCACAAAATAAAAATCTGATTTAATCTGCCTAGGTGCATTATTTTTACAACTGCAATACTTCTGCTTGTAATTTTACTATAAAGTATGCAGATAATTGAAATGTATATAGTACTAAGATAATTCTGGACTGTTCTTATATAGAAATGTTAAGATTTCACTCCTTTAACAGCAAATTTATTATTTTTCTGACATTAGAATATGCAAGTACTTCTTCCCTTTGAATACCTGAATACAAAAACTTGAATACACCATGCTACTGATGTTAAAAATAGCATTGGGTCTATTTATGACACTGTTCCATAAAATCCAAGCCAACAGGTCTCTGAGACACTTTAAACATTTGTATTGAAAGTGTTCTAGACTAGAATTACTCATGTTAATTTTTCCTACCTAAATATTATTCATCCAATGCAGTACATTTTAAATAGCATTTTAAAGAACCCCTTCTAAACCTGTTCTAAATTTAAAACTATCTACAAATCTGACCATGGTAAATTTATTCATCACTGACATGTTGCTGTGACTGCGAAAATTTGAGGCCATTCATTTAACAACAGCCACCAAGAAGTGTGTCCATGTAAAATGTAAAGGAGATTGCATAATTTTTCTGCTATTTATCCTCTTTTTACATTATCTGTGATAAAATGAGCAGCATTTGACCACTTTCACCTACCACTCTATCTTCAAGCGATTTTCATACACTCTTCCTTTAGTAGCATTGTATTCACTTCGGCAGCTGAAAAGCTGCTGCCTTATTTGGAAAGCTTCACTGGGAGCTTCTTCAGGGAGCTGTTCTGCTTTTTCCAGTTCACATTGCTGTTCCAGTTCTGCACTCAGGCGTTCAGCTTCCTGCAACAGCTGGGTCTCAGATTCCTGTAAACTGCATTAAATAGACTAATTCAGAACTAGGCAATGTGAAGCACAAGCTTTGTGTTTATACTTCTTTGCATACCTATAATATTTAATTGAAGGTTTTCAACATGAGATGGAATTAAGATCTGTATACTCTTGCCTGACCTCCTAGTTGACCCTGCCTTGGGCAGGAGATTGGACCTCCTGAATTCTGCCCAAATCATCCCATGATGCCATGAGAGCAGTGGAGTTTGGTCTCAGGGTTTTTTTCTGCATACCTACAGTTGAAGTGAGATTCATTTAATTTTAACCAGATGACAGACTGTTACTTGGTTAACTTTATTTGTCTAACACTTCCCGGACAAAAATGAAGAGACGGGGAATCCATTTTATCCTAAGAAGTGCCAAAGGCTAGATCTGATCTAGTGTAGAGACCTAGCAGGACAAGGCCCAGTCTGGATTATATGACAACTTTAAGTTCTTAATAAACAGTGGGATATCTACCCAGTGATGAATTACATCTTGCTACTGCTGTAGTGCTACCAAGACCAGAAATAACTCATGTAATGATACAAAAGCTGAAAATACATTTGTGGACATCTGTGGAAGCTTATTATAATGCCTGTAGATCAATGATCTGCTTTGTATCACCAGGCTAGCTCCACACAAACAACAAACTAACTCCTGTCAGTGTCTGAGACTGACACTGTATTATGTAAGTATTCATAATATACTTAAAAACCTGTATATAAAATCTTAATATACTTGAAAAACGTCCTAAAGGCTGTTAGTAAAATACATTGATTATTATGGAAAACTCTTAAAGTGAACCACAGTATGACAATTCATAAACAATGCACTACACATAAACCTATGCTTTATGAAACAGAAATATTGTGTAGGCCTCCTCAATATTACTAGATAATGACTTTTATATAATCATCTACTAAAATTAGTCACAAATTATGTAGAAGAATAAAGAACTCTATCACTTGCTTTTTACTAGTTACAAATATAAAAATATATAGTGCAATATTTTTTTAAACTTAGAATTTCCCATATTGAGAAAGTCTAGACATAAATTTTGGCTCAAATTTGACATTTATGGCTTAAACAGAAAAACAAAATTATATATCACACCAAAGAATAGAGTTGAGATGGTAGAATGAAGATAAAATACACTGATGATATTGCACAAACATAGTTGAAATAATATAGCAGAAAAAGTTTTGATTTGTGCAACATTTCTCCCTAGATAAGCACTTCCTTTTTCTAAACCAGAAATGAGAAAACCACAGAATTCAACAGAAAAGAGTGTGCCTTCATCATGAACAAATCATTTCATGTGTTTACACACACATGTTAAGCAAAAAATAAAAAGACTTATTGACACTGGATTCTATATGATATTTAAATCTTTAAATCTAACAGAATATATGCAGTTGTGGGAGAAAATGTAATTGGTTGTAGTAATACACAATTTCAAACACTTTTTTCATAACACATACACTTTTCATACAGTTATGTAAACATGTATGTGAATTCATAAAAACAAAATTTTGAGTATTTATTCTTTCAAGATAATAAAAAAAAGAGAAACAGAAACTCCAATTGAGTTTTGAATCTAGATTTTGCTCTCTACAGATGCAAACAGTATTTTTTCATGTGTTGATTTAAATTTAATTGAAGACAATGAAGAAATAACTGCACATCTACACAATGTACACATACAGAATCCCATGACTGCAAAAGTAAGTTTGTGCAGTCTCATGTGGCAGCTTTAAATTTTGTGAAATAATTAGTAATTTAGCAGAGGCTTAAGCAAATAAGATTCCCAATCTGCTAATGAATCTTCATTATTATCTGAGTATCTTTCAGTTCGGGTTATCAGAATATTCATACTAGGTTGCTACATGGAGGTAATATAAATAAAATCTACAACTAGGCCAAATAATTGAGTGACTAAAAAGGTTTTCAGGGGCCAAGTACAAGATCAGATACTTCAACATTTTACTACAAAGTGGATGGGTGAGACAGCACCACAATGGGATAACAGCCTATTCTCAGCAAACATAAATTCAAAACCACTTAAGACATTGAAGAAAAGTATGAAAGATGTTATCTGCCAGGTGACATCTTTCAGCTTTTAGAAATGCGAAATTGTGCAAACTGAAAGCAAGAAATAAATTTGCCACTAAACAGAGGACTGCACTATACACTTATAGCTCTGAGTACATTGGCAACAGCCTTGGAAACTACCTGCACACAGAGTAATTGTGTTCAAGATATTAGACAAATTTGTATTGTATATCAGAGAGATCAGATCCAATACTTTGGTACAGCTGTCACAGGGAACTGTGCTGTTTAAGATGTATAAGGCTTTCTCCTTGAAATTTTTATATGTTAATAAAGGAAAGAAAAAACCACATAGAGCTTGAAAACCTCATCCTGGGTCATTTGTCTTAACACTGCATTGCAACAACACTAGAACAGATGGGCATTAATTAGGAAAGGGATTGAATTCACCTGTAATATGTGAAAAAATAAGTTATTGATCCACACACACATACTGCACTTACCACCATGACAGTCCTTACAGCTGATGGAGAAAACCAGACCCTAGCAGATGTCTGAATAAGGAGGAAGTGTGTGGTCCCCATTTCTTTCTATAAAGTGTTAAGAGACCCTTGCTACCTTATTCAGATGAGCATGTCTACTGATGTCAAAATATGAACAATTGAATCCTAATTTTGATGCCTGAATCCCAGTTTTGATGTCCTTAAAGCATACTGGAAATCATGACTGATTTTTGGTAATTGATTTCCCTTGCTTTCTTTTAGCAATAGGAGAAATTTATCTGTGAGAATTAGTGCTTGTTCACACATTGATGTTCTGCTGTGACACATAACTACTTCTAATACAGAATGGGACATCATGATCTCTGATCCCACTTCTTACAAAAGCATGGCCATTTCATACTCCTGTAAGAATGATGGAAAGAATGAGAGATATAATCTACCATCTAACGTCTTCATGCTTTTGGTGCATTCTTGTAAGGGTAGTTTTAAGTGTGACAGGAAGGACAGCTGAGTCCTGTTTACGCTCAGGCCCTATTCCATTTGCTATACACACAAAGGGTTGCCTTTACATGAATGAATGTCCCATATAAAAGAATACTGTATAAATACATAAAACATGTAGGAATATGTTTGTATTTTTCCAATGAAAGACTGTTTTCAAACTAACACTGGCTGAAAACCAACTGATTAGTAACTACTGGTTTCTGATTCAGTTCAGTGAACACCAGTGTGGTAGAAACTGTCTCTATCAATTAATCCAAACACCACAAAATATGTTTAGATATGAGCAGTTAGAAAAGTCTTCTTGTATTTTCTAGGAATCTGAACTGGTTTAGTAGTGCTGTTTTTAACTTTGCTTCTCAGAAAGATTTGCTATCTATCTCAGTAATCTGAAATAAAGTCAGATGATGTTTCACAGAGTCAGAACCATTCCCAACTCCCCATTTTGTTAAGACAAAACCAGAAGACTCAGCTATCCTCAAGAAAAACTGTTATTTTAGTATTTTGAGAACCCTTTTTCAAATTACTTTACATAACTTTGCACTTGTTGCTATTCAGACTGCCAGGAGGCATAGCAAATCCCAGCACCAACCAAATAAGCAAGTATAACCCAAATTAGTTTTAGAATGCTGAAATTAGGCTTTAGGTTTAATAGCAGAATTGCCATAAGGTTTTTAATTTGGACTGCCAGTGAAAGTGGGATAAAATATTGTTAATACAGTGGATATTATGTATGCATTACAGGAATGTAACAGGAATATCATGAGGCTGATTTTATTGACAATTACAAGTATACTGTAAGGAGTATAAAATTATTATTAAGAAATACTAATGTAATATTGCAGTATTTTCAGTAGGACTGCTGTGTTCTGGGACACACTGTTCACCTGGTACAGCTGTAGTACTGTGTCCCCTTTTGTCCCTCTGTCTCTCTCCTTCCACTCACACATGCCCTGCCCAAGCCTGGCATCAGGCTGTGAGCATGGTCTCTGCTCTCTCCTCCAGCAAGGACTGGTGCAAGGCAGGCTCACAACAATACCCTAATTTCCAAATTTCATTTTGCTTCAAAGCTTAGGCTTCTGATCAAAATCTATTGGCAGTCCTGTCTAATGTGACTGTCAGTATTCTCAGAGGGTAAAATTTACACCTATTTAGGAGTGACAGTTTAGTTTTCCTTCTTAGAAATGAGCTTTAGCTTCTTCAGTTGCTTTCTACGATGTCAGCTCAGTAGGTCAGTCTTTTCATATACTACAATTCTGACGACAGGATCTTCAAATACATATTTATTTTAAGCTTGCAAATTGTCTGTTGCAGTCTGTACACCCATTCCCAATATTATTATGTTTGTATTAGAAACAAAGATGTGTTTCAAACAAGTATTTAAGTATCCCAAATTAAGTTGGAAGTTCCTATTAAATAACAGTGGTTTTCAACCTTGTGTTCTGGCTTCCTGTTTATGAACTATAACTGTAAGAAAGCCTTAAATGATAATCAGCCTTCAGAATGAGTAGAAAGTACTTTAAAAACATAATGCTTTGGCTACTGAAAGTCTAAAAAGGAATATTATACCTTATCACAGCCTCATGCAGCAGGGTGTACTGTTCCTTCAGCTCAGCTACTCTGGTGTCTGTGATTTTTCCAGCAGAAAATAGCTATGGAAGGCAAACAGACAGTTATGAAATCTCCTAAGCACTAATACTTTCATTCTGCTGCAATTTTTATATCTGTAATTGGCAGCCTTTCAGTTTATACAGACTTTGGTAACATAACAAATTAAATACACCACCAAATCAAGTAAACAGACAAAAAATGCTTATTTTCATAAAAATTCAAGGCATAAATATAATAACATAAAGAATGTTTCTATCACAACTACAGTGCTACCTGCACTGTACCATTGCTTCTCTGACTTTATGGCTGTATTAATATTTCATGATAATTCTGTCTTGACTTTGAACTCAGGCTCTAAGTACCCTCTTTTCATTGCTTAACTGGTTCAATTTTGGTATAAACCCACTGGCCCACGCAGGCAAAACTGAGGCTTAAAGTGTCTCTGCAGGCAATAGGGTTGTAAAATATATTGGAGCTAGGCTAAAACTGGATTATCCCCAGGCAACAAAACACGTTACCTTACATGACTGTGCAGATATTCAGCAAACACCAAGATCAAACAGGTCTTTTAAATAGCTCCAAAGATAGCAACTCAAACTCTTCCTTGAGCAGTCTGTTCCAACACTTGACCACTCTTTCAGTGAAGAAATGTTTCCTGAATGGAATCCAATTTAAACCACCCCGGTGCAACTTGAGGCCATTTCCTTCTGCTCTATTACTTGCACCTGGGAGAAGACACTGATCTCATGGCTACACCTCCTTTCAGGTAGCTGTAGAGAACAGTAAGTTCTGCTCTGAGCCCCCTTTTCCGCAGGCTGGACACCCCCAGCTCCCTCAGCTGTTCCCCATCAGACTTGTGCTCCAGACCCTTCCCCAGCTCTGTTGCCCTTCTCTGGACATGCTCCAGCATCTCAATGTCCTTCTTGTAGTGAGGGGCTCAAAACGGAACTCAGGGTTTGAGGTGTGGCCCCACCAGTGCAGAGTGCAGCAGGACAATCATTGCCCTGGTCCTGCTGGCCACACTATCCTGGGTGATATTGCTTTAGAAAACCTTTCTGATATTGCTTTAGAAAACCTTTCTTCTCCTCCTTTGATCACAAGTAAGGAGAACCAGTTTAAATCCAATTAAAAAATGTAAGCTGATCCACCTCTATAAAAGTCCATGGCTAGCCTTGTGGGGCAGCAAGTCAAACCTGCAACTTCTATGGGACCCTGCCAAGAAATGTGATTATGTAGGTCTCCTGAAATAAGAAGTGAAATTACCACAGCACCAAGAAAATCCCAGCAGTTATAATTCAACCTTCAGAATATTCAGAGGAATCCATGTCCTATGGCCAAGAAACAGAATACTTGTCAATGTGTCAAAGGAAGCATATATTTTCTTGATAACTGTTCAAGTTTTTTTTTTTTCAAGATCTGTTTCAAAATATTTCATGGTAGCAAAGACAATCTTTGCTACCTGAGACCCCCAGAATAGAACGTTTGCCTTTCATTTGTTAGCATGAGATTAAAGATAAGCAGCTCTCAAATATTTATTTTGGCATTCTGTATGATCAAAGATACTGTTAACTTAAGTTCAAAATACTATTTAGGTCTTCTGTGAGAAAGAAAATATGTCCCTTTCTCAACCCATTTATTTCTTAGCCTCATACATAGATATAGTTGTCCTGTTTGTGTGGTACCTCACTATTGTGTTTTCTCCACACTCCTCTGATCTGTACCTGTGAATTACAGGTTTTTTTACTGCTCAGGTTCTCACTGCAGATCTACGCCATGTTTGACAATGCTTCCACAGAAATAAACTTGCTTGTCCTGGAGGCTGTGTCTTCTTCTTTATGTCCATAAACTGCTTACCGATTTCACACCTAATTTCTCAGTTCAGCTCAGAGCTAAGAGCTCTGTTTCAAGGAGGTTGGTCCTATGCAGTGTGAAGACTTGTCCATTGAGGACTCCACAGGCCAGGCTGCATGGATGGCATACCAGTATGTCAAAGGCAGTGAGGCTTCCTGGAAAGTTTCATCACCAGGTAGTTCCCATTACCACAGTGGTTTTGGAAGAGCCATCAAAGAGACAGCACTGGGATACCCTGGTCCCAGGATTTGTTATTAAAGTCTGGTATACTGTTTTCTCCAAGATTCTTGGGAGAGCAGAAGGGAAAGAGGCAACTGTTTGAGGGGAAGAAATAGTCTGTGGAAGAAGGGAGCAAATATGATCCTACTCTAGAAAAATTGTATTAATTGTGATGATAAAACCTGACAAGAGATGATGCCTCTGATATAAAGATATATAATTCTTTCAAGGTGGCCTGTACCACATTAACGATAAAATAACCAAGAGAATTTATGCACTCACAGTTCATTTTATTGTTCAGAAGCTCTCACATTGCTGGGGTAGGTGAAATGTAGGTTTCCTCAGTGTAACTATTTACATTGCTAAACTGAAAAGTAAAAGAGCGAGTGAGAAGATGGAGAAGTGAGAAAAATAGGGCTTCTAAATGACAGTTGGGGATGACCTTTTTTTTCAGTCATGTGTTAACCATAATGCCCTTGTAAGAACTGCGGTGATTTTATTATACTGGTGATCTCAGATCTGGAGTCTGGGATATAGTTGGATAAATATTCTTGACTTGTTGAGTCTTCCAGTCCTATTCCATGTCAGTTGTACTTAACTGTATATTGCTTTTGTCAGATTTTCTTTCTCATTTTATAATGTGCTGGCACCCCATACCTTTTCAAACACACCCAACATTGATAGATCATCTGGATAAACCAGAATAAATTTTCCTTATCTAAATGCAGAATTACTGGAAAGTTGGATGAAGATTTGTCTTTTAACAAATGGTTGCCTGGCAACTTTCTGCTTTCCATTTTCCCATACTCCCATAAATGCAATTACATGGAATTATGTGTCTTATTACTGGATTTACTTTAATCTTTTTATTTTAATGTAAAATTTCTGTTATGTTTATTTTACCATATTGTTACCCTTAAATTGCCCTTGTGATTTTCTAACTTTGTTACAATTTTTTCTATTGCTACGGGATTTGAAGTCTGGCTTTTCTACCAGAAAAACAAAACAAAACAAGATATAACAAAGCAAAACCAAACCCAAACCCAAGTTCCAAAGCAAATTTTTTTCCTTCAGTCAGTGAAAAGTCCCAAAGTGCTGGCCAATTATGTCCTATTACAAAAGATGTGGAGGAAAATTTTGCAGAGAAGGTGAAAGGGAAGGATATATCCTTAATATTTTTCTAGCAGGAAAAGGTAGATATTCTGTCTCTGAGCAGGACTCATTTAAATATAGGAGTCCATGAGAAAAACAGAACATACTTATGCTCAAATAATTGTTCTGTACACCTGAAAAATGTTTCTCTCTACAAGTTCATATTCACTTGCTACCAACAGTTCCCCACCAGACCTGTCTTCAAAATCTCCTGATGATAATTCCAAGAAAAAGTGAGCACCATGTGAGGTTCTACACTATCTGAGGGACCTCTTTTATATCCTTCCAGCTTGACTTCAGGCACACAAGCCCCTGGATCTAAGACCACAGTAGTTTCTCCAAGCTTGGAAGGTGGATAGAGATGTTTGTAAGAAAGAGAATATGTCAGAATAGGAATGGGAATTAAAACCACAGAAGGGAGAGGACCCACCTGATAAATGAGGTACTCATCCATGTGAGCAAAGCTAGTGGAATCAGGTCTTAACTTGATCAACACCTCCTCACTGCATTAAGTGCAGTGGGCATTCTCCATTTTATCAGATTATATTCAACTCTTTTTGACAGTCACTCAAAACAATGTAGCAAGGAATTCATCTGGAATTCCAAACCAAGTTTTCTCTAACTGAAATGTGATTTAAATACGAACTCTAGGCACATTTCCCATTCCAAATTTCAAGGCTCTTAAAGTTGTTTTGGGACTCTCCAGAAATGAATAAAATTCAGCCAAATATTAAACATAAATAGATGACAGAAGCTGAATATTGGTCTAACTCTTCACAGTTTTCTGATAAAAAAAGCACACAAAACAAGCACAGAAGATAAAGTCACCACCAGAAATTACCACTTAACTCAATTACTTGCAATCATTATTAAAGTGAAGCACTTGAGGCTTCTTAGGAAATACTCAATTTCAGCAGTGCCTACAATCTCTTCATTTTGGAGAAATGATGTAGCTAACACATGTTTCTAATTATGCTTGCAGTTACTGCAAAACAACTAAAATGTATTCTAAGTTCAAGTGGAATAATAACGCTTTTCTTTTCTTCATGCTAAGTTGTAGGTTTTGTAACTGTAACAAGACATTTTGACTACACTTAGTATAATTTTAACACAAAATTTCCAACATTTTTTATTAATTTGCTATTTCAAATATCTGAAATGTTTCATCAAACAACTATTTTGCCTCCTAATAGAAGACTAGAGAAAAAATTCAAGGGATTAATATGTTTTATAGTTTGTATACACTCAGGATTTCAGTATAGTATTAGCCCCTTGGCACATGGCTCTTCTGCCCAGTCTGTTTCATCAGGTTTGGAATTTTCCTTCTGTGTTGTTTATTTGAAGAGCTTTTCTTACTTCTTTTATATAATATTTAAAGGTTAAACATTAAGCAAAGAGAAAGGGTAAGTTCTCCTCTTTAAATAGAGTGCTCTGCCTCTTCTGTCAAAATCTTCATGAAGCTACACAGTGTGGGCACAGCACACAGCTCAGGTGTGCCTTATTTGGAGGAGAAGGCAATGCCAGCTTCTCAGGGGTTGTTTCAACATCCTAGCAGGGCAACAGGTACAAGCACTCTGAAGCCATGCGATGACTCTTGCACTTCTGTCCATATTACTGGATACCAGTCTCCACAGAATCACAGGGCTAGGGATATCTGAAGGTGTTTGGCTTGCCTGTCTGGTATATCCAAATTATCTGGACAAAATCTTGGACCCATGATGATGCACTAAGGGAACTGAAGATTCCTACTCAAGTTCAGGCCACTGCTCAGAGCAAGTTCAAAACCTCTCACTAATTCTGAAGATCATGTCCTGGCTAC